CATGCCTGTATGTAAATATGTATGTATGTATGTATGTATGTATGTATGTATGTATGTATGTATGTATGTATGTATGTTTGTATGTATGTATGTATGTATGTATGTATGTATGTATGTATGTATGTATGTATGTATTTATGAATGTATGTATGTATGTATGTATGTATGTATGAATGTATGTATGTATGTATGTATGTTTATATGTACGTATGTATGTATGTTTCTATATGTATATGTATGTCTGGATGTATACATATATGTATGTATGTATGTCTGCAATAATATATGTACGTATTTCTAACTAGGTCCCTTCTACGCGATTCTCATGAATTCAAGTAAGTCTCGTAGGCTTCACTTCAGGCAAAGGAGGCGGCGCTATATCTTAGGAGGAGGCGGCATCGACTAAGGGGAAGACGGCAGCTTTGATATTGGAGGAGGTGGCTTCAACTAAGCAGGGAGCGGCGCCTTCAGTATGAAAGGGTACGGCTGCATAAGCAGAGGAGGAGGCGGCGGCACCTTCAGCAATGGAGGAGGATGCGGCTTTAATAATGGAGGAGATGACTTTAATTAGGAAGGGTGCGACGGCTTCAGCTACGACTTCAACTATGGATATGCCTTCAACCATGGAGAAGGCTTCAGTCTGAGCAAAGAAGGAGGCGGCAGCTTGAAAATTGGAGGAGACAGTGGCTATGGCTTTGACGAAGGCCATTGAACAACAGGTACGTGTTCCAATCAAAACTATATCTTATTATATTTAAAATCAATCTAAGAACTATTTAAATATATTATTAATATTGTCCTGCTATGCGATTCTCACTAATTTAAGAAAGGTTTAACCAATATACCTTTGTTTTTCTGTTCTATCAGCACTTATTGATGACGATAAAATCATCGAGTAATTGAATTTACAGGTGAGTACGCAATCAAAAATATATTTTTATATATAACAATTTTGAAGATTCGATCTGCAACTATCCTTAAGTTGGCCATTATCCATCCGCTTGACTTCAAAACATTTTATAAAGACCTGTGTAAGATTCATATAAAACGACAAAGGTTTAGTGTATGCATGTTTGCTTTTCGGCTCCAAATTTTCAACCCAGGACCAAGTAGATTCCAACATTTGTTCCTATATTTTATGGACATTAAACTAGAAAAAATCCGCTAGTGTGATTTTTTATTTTTAACTTGATTCACGATAATACACAGTATGCAAGGGCGGAATATGTTTGGAAAACTTTAAAATTAAAATTTATTGAGGTTTTTAACCAAACGCCGGTTTTCCAATGTATATTAGTTATGTTGTGCATTTATATATTTATGTATGTTTGTGTGGGCTCATAAAACTTTTAATATATGAATATAGATCCCCTTCCCGAAATATCTCTACGTAGAACATATTGTTTAATCAAGTTACATTTTACCTGTCAAAGCATGGGAGCTAATGGGAGCTGTTCTTTAGCACATCTTTTTCACTGCCAAAAAGTTGAAGACCATTTTACTAGCAAAAAATAGCCGTCAAGGCCTTGAAGCACATTAAAGACTTGCGAATGAACTGCCAAGCCTCTGTACAATCAATAACCCGAATTGTCAGAAATGTCCAAAATGTCCGAAATGTCCTGTGTTCCAGCTTGTGTTTACTGACACTTGCTGTCCAATTTGATGAAATATCCTGTCTGGTTTAAGGAAATGACGTACACAGGCATTAAGTATGAGGACAATGGCCAAAACGAATGCTACAAGTTGTACTTTAAATACATAATTTATCAAAATCGCAGTCCGGAAAAAGGAACAGAGCCATGTCCCAGAGCTGGGACCTGGAGGGCAGAGGCTCTGTTTGGCCTGACGCATTATTTACGTGGCAAGGACTAATAAAATGAAATGGCAACTGGGGACAAGGACAATGAGACGCCGCCATCGCCTTATTATGTTGACATAGCATTCCGGGCTGGCGTTTGTATAATTGATTAGGTTTGGCTTTACTTATCGCTTGCCCAGACCCCAGACACGAGTCCCCTGAGTAGTATGTGGCTCGTTTCTAAATAATAATTTATGTGCTGTGTACAAAGACATTAATCTTTATTGGAACTCAAAAGTATATGCGAACCGCTGACAAGCTATTTGCTTGCCCAGCCAAAAGTACTATAAATAAAGCACTCGCCAAGCGACTTTCTCCCTTCTCACCAATTTCCAATATACCTATTGCTGGCCATAATCAATATAATTGTTAAGGAACGTTTAGGCCGTGGGGCCTTACCCAACATTTTATGTCCAACTTGTTTGCCTTACACCTCTTGACAATGGTCCAAATTGGGGTATCATAAAGTTATGCAAATTTATTTAAAGGACAAAAGGAAGCAGAACTCAATATTATATACCTAAAATAATATACCCAACATTATATATACCTAAAATTATATACCTAAGACTATACACCAAAACTTTTGGATAATTTTTACTTTAATTTTATATTTTAATTTTTATAATATAAATTTTCTTTTTTTATTATTTATTTACTTTTGCTTTATTTGGAACTCGAAGATTAAACGAGCTAAAAAATCGAGAATATTTCACTTTTTGGACACCGCCCATGTTTCCCCAAAATGTAAAGCAATTAAAAGGCATTTTTCTTGATAGTTTAATTCAAAACTATAAATAACACAAAATGTCAGAATATGGAAGCATTTTCCACAGTGGAAACCAAGAGAAAAAGTTCATTCGCATTGTGTATGTATTGACAGAAGTAATGGTATCTCCTAGTCGGTCATCGCCGACTAGAGAATTTAAATTTTTTTAAATATTTATCCAAGAGCGAAATAAGATACTTATGAGCTGGTCTTTCATTTAAATTGTTTCGTACTTATATTAAGTACATTTAATGCTGATGGATTGCTTTTGAGCCTTTTTTAGTTTAAGCCATATGTTTGTTTATGTGAATCCTAAACTTGACCTGTTTAATGGGGCCACGCACCTGGGTCAACAGTCTGGACGTTTACCAAATTTACCATATATGCAAATAAAGCGTGCCAATGGAATGGGGGGCGTGTCTGAGAATGTAAGGGGGCGGTTGTGGGTGGGCGATGAGTTTTCACCAAGCTGGCCAAAAGCCAGTCGAGTGTTGCGTTTAAGATACAATTCATTCGTTGAACGATTTGATTTATACGGTTAAACACGACAGTTGGGGTTTTTTTTTTAAGTTTTCATTATTGAGATAATATTAATTTGTTGTGTGTGGATCGGATAGCTTGCTCATGAAAATGGAAAGTAAAAGAAATCTGTGCGCTGTTAACATGCATGCCTTAACATGAAAAAGCATTAAATATTTACTTAACCATATTTATGTATACGTGAGGAAGAGGGAGGGGGGGCTAGTCTCCTGGTGTTAACAACCTCAGCCTAAGCTAATGATCATTGTGAATGTATTCGCTGTCTCGCTCTATGTAATTAGTTCGCAAACAATTTGCTAGATGGAAAGTGAGCGCCGTCTGTTTTGTCAACCTGCCCGCGCTTTATTGAAGACTTAACCCCATTAGCGGGAATTGGCGCACTTGCCGATCAGAGCAGCAGGTAACTGGCAAGGGCAGCGGGCGGCGGGCAGCAGGCAGCGGGCGGCGGTAACACAAAGAAACAAACTTTCTGCGGCATGCCAAAGAACGGCGAGGCGAAAACTTTTACCCAGCCCAAAAGACGCACAAAACTCATTCACGAAGCTGTATAGCTAAAGAAAGAGATGTCAGAGAGAGAGAGAGAGCGGGAGAGCAAGAACCAGAGGCTTGTGGTCATCTTGGGAATTTTTAGTACTCTGCTTTTAGTACCAATGCAAAGAAAAACCTGTTTCAGAGCAGACAGCAGCCGCACAGTCGCAGCAGCAGCAGCAGCCGTGGCCAGCGCCAGCGCCAGTTGCTGCGCGACGCTCAAGTGGAGCACAAGACGTACAAAGCACAGTCGAAAAGAAGCAGCCGTCGCGAATTGAAACGGGACGCGACGTCAAAGTCGAAGTCGAATTCGAAGCCGAAGCCGCTGCCCATGCGCAGTCAGTTGTAGTTGTAGTTGTTATTGTGTACTTGTTGCTGTGCAACGCTAGTGCGCAGCTTAATTATTGCCCCAGCTTCAGCACCAGCACCAGCAGCTCCCGCGCTGTTGTTCCCGTTCCCCCAGTTGGCAAAGTTTACTTGTTTGTCTGCATTTTTCCCGCACTTGTATAAGTACAAGCACACAGATATACACACACAGTGTGCGCTGTAATATATTTGTTACCAACTGTCTGTGTGTGTGCGCGCTTTTCCCTGGGAAAATATTCTTGACGTTTTGCGCTTTCTTTTTGTGTGTGTGTACTATAACAAAAACACAAATGTAAACAAGCCACGATAATACAACAACAACTAAACTTCGTCGGTTATTACGGTGCTTTGTGCAATCGGCGAAAAAAAAAGAATCGAGTCAAAAAATTTCCCAAGCAAAAACAACAACAACAACGACAGTGACGTGCAATTTCCCAAACAGCCGACACAATCAAAAAAAGTAAGCCAAAATATAAATCAGAAGAGAAACAAGTTACAAACCAAACACAAAACACAAAAAAAAATCGTAAACCGCAGTTTGTGATTAACATATTTCCCATCAAAAAGTCTCTGTTTTTAATAGCCATGTGCATGCATGTGTGTGCGAGTGTGTGTGTGTAAAAACAAGAAGTGGACGCAGTCGCACAGCGGACCATGTAGCTCAACGAGACCTTGAAGCTGTCTCTGCCAGTTCAGGTCGCGTTTTGGAGCAGCTTTTGGTATCGAATCGATTCCCATCATGCATTTCAATGAGTAAAAGGGGCACTGCGATTAAATGGTTGGGAAATTTATATGAAATGCAACCTGCGATGTTGTTTTATAGGCAATATAAATTTACATACAAAAATTTACGAAAGATCTCTGGCCCGCTATTTCGACAACTGACCAAATAACGTTTTGCATGACTATGGACCGTAGAGCAATAGCAAACACACTCACCCATACGTGCAAACATTCCTATGTGTGTTGTATAAACACACACACATATGTATGTACATGGTTATTTACGCTCAAAGTTTTTGGTGTCGATGCGCAATCCACCAGTCCAATCCAACGGTACATCAAATGCTTGAGAAAAATAATCAAGAATATGATGCATAGCTGCCCCACACATCCGTATGCATGTGTGTGAGTGTGTGTGTGTATGTAGAACAAACTGGGTACTTTCTGAAAGTGTATAAACGTATATTTAAGTATAGAAGTAATTAGCACGTCAATGTCTTTATAGAATTTACTTTGTTTGCGTAGATTCATAATCAATTTTCGGTGCTCTTCGGTTTTTTACACATCTTAGTTTTCACACTTTTTAATACGTAAATTTAACATTGAACAATTTCTTCTAAAACATTTTTTTTGTTCAAATAACGGTGCTTACAGAGTTGTATTTTGGCAAAGTGTGACTATAGCAAAACTAATATTAAAATACCAACTTCATATTAAAAACAGCTAAAACGTAGATACTTAAATAACCTGCGCAATTCTATGGACGGATACTATGTATTTTTGATTGATTGATTGATCTGTGCAAGTGCTAAATAATATTTTTTTAAATATTTTGATGAAATTTTTATTTAATTTAAACCTTAGATTCATAAGGCGAGGTTCAATGTTTGCGAATAACCAAGTTTTGATACTAATAGAGATAGATGTAGTTTTGGTAGACCGATTTAAAAAAAAACAACTTAATTTTGTCAGGACAAGCAGAAAATGTTTCCACTCCTCTTCTTTTATTTAAAAAACAACTTTGATATATAATATACCAGTTAGTAATGCCGCATTCTTGGCCCAATGTGTAGGTAGCTGGCCTTAACTTGTTGTTGGCTTTATTGATTATGGAGCTGGAGAGCTTGGCCGAGTCTCAACAACGAGAACAAGAAACTCAACTTGTTTAAATATGCGGTTTTCGACAATAACAAAAAAAGTCTCCAATGTTATTCAAATTAAATGTGCTGGCCGGGTCCGAAGATAAAAGAGGAAATGACCAAATACAGTGGGGCTGCGGCTGTGGCTCGAACCTGAATAAATGCTCAATCCAAGCACATAATTAGCGCTATGCTCTTATACCCTGTAACCATTGAGTAACTAAGAAAGGTATAAAGGTATTATAAATCAAGCAGAAAATTTACACTTTTCGCTAAACACCAAAAAGGTGCGTAAGCTTTCTCGTATAATATGCACAGATCCCAAATATTTGACCTCTTGGAGACCTCCACATTTTCATAATTTTAGTAGGTATAGCCTTAAGCTTTTGTATTTACATACATTTTATTGCCATATTTATGCCCTGAATATCGGCCGATGAATTCGGAATTCGGAAATTGTCGGAACCACCATATCATATAGCTGACATAGGCATGATCGGTCGAAAATGAAGTTGTTGTATGAAAAACTTTTTTGTTTATCAAGATATATTGACCAAACTTGGAATTTATTATTTTTACCATGCTTCCTACATTTATACAAAGTCTTTTTTACATCGGACTACTATTTCATATAGCTGCAATAGAAGCGATTGTTTGCAAGTTAAGTTGTTCTATAGAAAAGTTTTTTGTTTATCAAGATATCTTGACCAACCTTGGATTTATTATTTTTGCTAAGCTCCTCATATACAGATATATCCTCTCAACATCGGACGACTATATCATATAGCTGCCATAGGAACGATCGGTCAATAAGTAGTTACTTGTATAAAAAACTTTTTGTTCCTCAAGATATCTTAACCATACTCGGCATTAACTTTTTTCACTGGGCTGAAAAGGTTAGCTCTTTCTCTTGTTTTATATGTGTGAATAGAAGAAAGTGCGACTGTTTGTGATTGGGCAAAGGGTATCTACCCATTACGGCCGACTGGAGCGCTCTTGCTCCAAACTAGTTTTTGCGTTGGTAATAGGTGTTACTAAATGGAAAATCAATCTTTAGCTGCAGCGAAAATGGAAACGTGGAAACAGCTGCTGTTGCTTTTGAGCTTTCTGTGCTGCTTGAACCGACGCAGCGAGGCCTGGCGGCCATGTCCGGAGCTAAGTCCCGCCTTGCGATTGCCATGCAGGTGAGTGAAAAAAATAACTGACAGACAGACGGACGGACGGACGGACAAGAGACGGATGAGAGACGGTCGGCAAATTTCCGCTTGTTGTTATTTTAATATCTGCAATTTGTGAGCTGGCTTTGTTTGTGTTCAATCAATTGCGATTGACGACAATTACTTTTACAATTACAACAATTACAGATGCAATGTGGTGCCTTTTGCGGCAACTGGTCAGCTCGGCGCGGTTGCCATGGACTGCGATCGGGTTGTCTTCCACGGCGATGCGCCGCAGCTGCCGTACGGTGCGCCCATCGTGGCGTATACGCAACGGCACAGCGGACAGCAAACGTTGCCAGCACAGGTGAGTTAACTCCATCTTATCCAACGGAAGTCAATGACCCAGTCTTTGCAGACATTTGGTCAGCTGAAGCTGCCCATCGAAGAGCTGGACCTGTCCAACAACTTGATACGTCGCATACCGGAGAAGGCCTTCGACGGCTTGAAGGATGCGCTGAACGAACTGCGTTTGGCCAACAATTTGTTGGGCGATAATCTGAATCCCATATTTTCGACGGCGGAGCTACACGCTCTCAAAAACCTGCGCCTACTGGACCTGTCCGGCAACAAGATCAAGCTGATTGAGGAGGGTGTGCTCAAGGGCTGCATCGATCTGAAGGAGTTCTTCATGGATCGCAACAGCCTGACGGCGGTCCCAATCAATTCGCTCAACGGACCCAGCGCCTTGAAGCATCTCTCCTTGCGACAGAATCATATAGGTAAATCATATATAAGAAATATTTCCTACATTTGCATCATTTGGATGGAAAAGGGTCACGAGAAACCATGAAGCAAGTTTGGTGACCACCTTCGAGTTGTGCTCTAAAAACCATGTGAAAAAATCAGTATCAAACAAAAATGAGTGGGTATGTCGAGATATAGACAGACGGCGGACTTGGCCAGTTGGTCGACCTGAGTTGGTCGACCTGAATTCGGAGATACTTCCTTTTGCCTGTTACCCGTTTTCAATGTCTTCAGGGCCTACAATCAAAGCACAGTCAGTTGAACTAATCCCCTTTGCTGTTTCCCAGCTACGCTCCAGCGCGATTCCTTCAGCGCCCAGGCCCAGCTGGAGATAATCGATCTGCGCTACAACATTTTGCGCAGCATTGACAGCCAGGCTTTTCATGGACTGCGCAAGTTACGGGAAATCAAGTTGGCCGGCAATCGGTTGACTAATCTCAACAGCGATGTCTTCGAGCAGCTGCACACGCTTCAGAAGCTGGATCTTTCCGAAAACTTCTTCAGCCAGTTTCCAACCGTGTCGCTCGCCGCAATCGCAGGCCTCAAAGCGCTCAACGTAAGCGCCAACATGCTGCAGGTAAGAAAGATTTTCTCCTGATTCGATTTGATTATTAATAAGTGGTGTACTCGCTAGCAACTGGACTACACCCACATGCAGGTGGTGAGGTCTCTGGAGAGCCTGGACCTGAGCCGCAACAGCATAACCAGCATTCCGCCGGGCACATTCCGCGATCAGAGCGCACTCAAGTATCTGGATCTGAGTCTCAACTCGCTGCGCACGGTGCGTATATATTGGAAAGTAAAAGGAAGAATTAACTAATTACCTTCCTTTTCTCCAGATCGAGGACGACGCCCTGGAGGGTCTGGAGAGCCTGCAGACCCTGATAATTCGGGATAACAATATCCTGCTCGTGCCGGGTAGCGCTCTGGGCCGTCTGCCGCAGCTCAGCTCGCTGCAAATGGACTACAATCGCGTCGCAGCGCTCTCTGCCGAAATTCTGGGCTCAGTGCAGGCTGGCGACATTACGACCTTGTCCCTGTCACGGAACGTCATACGGGAACTACCGCCCGGCAGCTTTCAAATGTTCAGCAGTCTGCACACACTCGATTTGTCGGGAAATTCTTTGGTGCTGGTCAATGCGGAGACCTTTGCGGGCCTGGAGGGCACCTTAATGCAGCTGCGGCTGGCGCAGAACAAGCTCAGCGGGCTGGGCAACGCGCCGCTGGCGCTGCCCGAGCTGCGTGGCCTGGACCTGAGCGGCAACGGCCTCGGCGAGCTGGCGGCCAACATCTTCGAGGACCTGGAGAATCTGCAGGCTCTGAATTTGAGCGGCAACCATTTGTCGCCGTCGTTGACGCCGGCGCTCTTCCGGCCATTGACGCGGCTCCAGGTGATCGATCTGAGCCAGTGCCAGATTCGCCAGCTGAGCGGGGATCTCCTTGCCGGACTGCAGGATCTCAAGCACATCCATCTGGCGGGTAATCAACTGCAGGAACTGCAGGACGGCAGCTTTGTGAATCTGTGGAACATCAGCTCCATCGATCTGTCCAATAATCAGATCAACTCGATCCGTGCCGGCGCCTTCGTCAATGTAATGCAGCTGAAGCGGTTGGATCTGCGCGGCAACCGGTTGTCCGCGTTCAAGGGCGAGTTCTTCAACACGGGTACGGGCATCGAGGAGCTGGACATTTCACACAATCAGCTCAGCTATCTTTTCCCCTCCTCCTTTCGCATACATCCACGTCTGCGCGAGATTCGTGCGGCGCACAACAAGTTCTCGTACTTTCCCGCCGAGCTGATCGCCTCGCTGCAGTATCTGGAACAGATTGATCTCTCGGACAATCAGCTGAAGACCGTCGAGGAGCTGGACTTTGCAAGGTTGCCGCGTCTGCGCGTACTGCGCCTGGCCCACAACCAGCTGGACATGGTCAGCGAGATGGCCTTCCACAACTCGACCCAGCTGCAGATCCTTGACCTTTCGCACAACAGCCTGGATCGCATTGGCGAGCGAACCTTCGAGGGCCTCGTGCGTCTCGAGCAGCTAAATCTGGAGCACAATCATCTGGCCGAGTTCTCCGACAGCGTCTTCGAGCACTCCAAGCTGCACATGCTCGAGAACATCAACCTGGCCCACAATCGTTTTGAGTATGCGCCGCTTAAGGCGCTGCAGTTGCGTCACTTTTTCGTCTCCTCGGTGGATCTCAGTCACAATCGCATCCGGGAGCTGCCCCGCGACGACAGCATTATGGTGAACATCAAGCGGATCGATCTCTCCTACAATCCTCTCAGCGGGCAGGCCGTGCACAATGTCCTCAACGAGCCGAAGACGGTGCGCGAACTCAATCTGGCCGGCACGGGCATCGAGGAGCTGCAGCTGCTGGAGACGCCTTTCCTGCAGTATCTGAATCTCTCCCACAACAAGCTGCGCAACATCAAAGCGGAGATCTTCCAAAGGGTCACCCTGCTGGAAACTCTGGATCTGTCCAGCAATGAGCTGAAGTCCCTGGACGATCTGTCGCCCGCCTGGCCGCAGCTGCAGGTGCTCCAGGAGTTGGACGTTTCCAACAATAGCTTTGAGCTCATCTCCCAGTCAAACTTTGCCCAGCTGGAGATGCTCCGGACGCTCCGGCTGAACCATTTGCCGCTGTGCAGCCGCATCGAGAAGCAGGCCTTCCGGGCGTTGCCCAATCTGGCCACGTTGGAGGCGTACGACTTGCCGCTCCTGGGCTATCTGGATCTGCAGGGCATCATGGAACTGCTGCCAGGCCTCGAGCAGCTGGACATTGAGGTCAAGGATGCGACCATAGGCAGCGAGCAAATCCAGCCGCTCAAGCATCCAAGGCTTCGCTCGATCGGAATACGCGGCGAGCGCCTCAAGTCCATATCCTCCGGCACTCTGGCCGGGCTCCGGAGCAGCGATCTGACTATCAAGCTGCAGAATACATCGTTGACAGCGCTGCCCCCAGCTCTGCTCTTTCCCGTGCCGCGCTCCTCCCAGCTCCGACTCAACGTGGAGGGCTCCAAGATCGGCTCACTTGTGCCGCAATTCCTCAACGCACTCGAGGATCGGCGGGCGAGCCTGCAGCTGCAGGGTTTGGCCAGCAATCCGATTAACTGCAATTGCGATGCACGCGCTCTGCGCCGCTGGCTGCCCAGCTCGGGCATGCCGGAGCTCGTCTGCCGCGAACCATCCTATCTGGCCGGGCGTAAGCTGATCGAGGTGGGCGACGATGAGCTCACCTGCGATCCGCGTCGCATGACATCCTCCTCCAGCTCCTCCACCTCGGCGCGTCCCTCCACTTCGCAGCTGCACAAGAACTCCGGCCAGCTGTTGACCTCACGCACGGAGGAGCCGCTCATCATCTGGAGCCTGGAGCCCCCCACACAGCCGACGATCATGAAGATCAAGACAAAGGCGCCGCTCATGAAAGGCGCCCAGGCGCCGATCATCAGCAACGACGATACGCTCATCATTGGCATCGTCGGCGGCGTCGTCGCCTTCATAGCCATATTGATCATCATCATATGCATCATCCGGCTGCGCATGAGCAATGCCGAGTATCAGCAGAGCGCCGCGATGATGGGCTTGCCAACGGCAATGCAGCTGGGTGCCCACAATGCCGCCTACAATTACAAGAACGGAGCCAACGGGCCAGCGCTCTACGCCGTGCCGCCTTACCAGGCCAACTATGCCACATTGTCGCACAAGGCGCAGTCCACGCAGAATCTGACGCAGCGACAGCAGCAGCAGGTGGCCCAACAGCAGCAGGCGCAGCAGCAGGCGGCAGCGGTGGCCGCCTACTCGACCATGTCGCGCATGTCCTACTTCAGCGGAGCGGGTGCGCCGGCCAGCGCGGATGGCCCCGAGAGCCTGACGCATCATCACCAACCGTACATTATCTACTCGGACGACAAGGCATATAGATAGACACGCTCTCTCTCGTCTCGCTGTCTCATCCCAATCTCTCAGTCAGTCGCGGGTTCTACATGTTGTATGTATATAGACCTAGTTCATTTCGTATTTTAACTTAATTAAGTCGACAAATCGCACACGCGTAATAAACAAATTATAGTATAATATTAGAAGCGATTAAAATTATAATAGTTATCTTATTTGCTGCTCGAAGTCGCGAGCTGAACCTTAAGCCGAGGCTTTGATTTGAGCCTTTCCTGAACTTGTAAATGAAAATGTCTTTCTTTGCAGAGATTATATTAGCTATAATCTTTTCCAGTTGCGGCTTCCTAAAATTGCATCTAAAAAAAATAGAACGATTTTTGTAAAAATTCATTTTTTATACCATGAACCCATTAAAAATGGAAATAAGGGTATATTGTGTTTGTGCAAAATCCAAATGTATGTAACAGGCAGAAGGAAGCATCTCCGACCCCATAAAGTATATATATTCTTGATCATCATCAATAGCCAAGTCGATCAAGCCATGTCCGTCTGTCTGTCTGTCTGTCCGTCCGTCCGTCCGTCCTTCTGACTGTCCGTCCGTCCGTCTGTCCCTATGTATGGACGCAAGGATCTCAGAACCTATAAGAGCTAGACTTGAAATTTTAGATGTAGGTTCTCCCAGTTCCCGCGCAGATCAAGTTTATTTCCGATAATCGATAACTTACTCCGTTTCCAAGCAATCGATAAAAATCGATATCGATATCCTGTTTTTTGGGCAATTTTGGTAAATAATAAGAGCTAGAGTCACCAAACTTGACATATAGCTTCTAAAATAAAATATATATATATGCATTTGATTTTGGAAGAAGAGGGTTTAGGGTATCCCTAGTCGGGAGCTCCCGACTATAACCTCTTGTTTCTTTTAATTACTGGACTAACCTTTGCCCAAATCTTTCGTATACACTTTGCAACAGGTTTTATTTAATTTAATACAACAGACTTTCAGTTTAAATTTGAGCCCGTTTTCGTTTTTTATTACAGTTCACAAAAAATGGTTTGTACAACAAGATGTTTTCATAAAAGGCCTATACTCGTAAATGCAAATATATTCATCTATACACGTATATATTTTTACTAATCTATGATATATATAATATGGGACACATGTAAATGTGTACAAGAAACTTTCAGGGTAACCATTCACAGTCTTTGTTTTGTCGTCGTTTAACAAAAGAAACAAGATCATATGAGCTTAACAATATACATTTACAATTGTCGCACACAATGCGTACACAAACAATTAACATTAATTAAAGAATTAATGGCATTTAAACAAAGACATGGGGAGATTTATAATAGATCTGAAGCCGAGCGCAATAACTCAATCTAAATTTACATTTACAATTGTTGCACCAAATACGTACATATATGGAGCACAAACAATAGTCGTACTTAAACAAATAATTAATGGCATTCAATCAAAGACAAGGGGAGATATATAAAAATAAGTGGCTAAAGCTGAGCAATAACTCGATCTTAATTCAGGAAGTTGGCGTAGTCTTTCAATAAGCATCCCAGCCATCCTAGCCATGCCCTAATTTACGCCATTTGCGCATAGGAAGTGTGCATGTTGTAATCCCGGCGACGATAGTAGATCATCAGGCCATAGCTGACGCATAGCAGAGCGGCAATGATGCATATCAGAATGCCTGCAAGAATATATTTTTAATTATAGTTAAATGTCTGCTCAATTATTTAATACTTAAAGTACTTAACATATTCATAAAGAACTATAGATATTTTTATGTATACTCCCAGTTTTTCTACGATAACTTGCCTGTTGCTGCGCCCAAATTGGCCTCCTCGTATGTCATTGTCAGTGTGGATCGCTTGCACTCATCCGTCCAGTTCTCCGGCAAGACATCCTCATACAGTGCATACATCTTTGACAGCGGGCAGGATACACCGCAGCCGGGTATATACATTGGCAGCGGTTCGGCTGTCGTGTTTTTATAGAATACGGAAACCAAGGGCCTGTTGTTATCATCCACACGCAATTCGAACATTATGCACGCCGTGTACGGCGGACTGTGCAGCTGGAAGATGACAAAAAATAAATGGGAATTAAAACTAAACTGAAGCAATAGAATGATAAAATCACTCGGCACGCCGAAGATACGAATATACGAAGGTATATTGAAAAGAAAAAATGTTTCGAAACAGAAGCTCTGCCTGAAAAATAAAGGCGAACATATCAAAAATTTCGTGAAGATAGCTTTCAAATCAAAATCAAATCAAATCAAAATCATACAAGAATCTATTTTTGACCGATCGTTCCTATGGCAGCTTTATAATATATTGGTCCTCTAAGTGAAACCTCTCAATGCCGACCTTGGTCAAGATATCTGCTAAAACAAAAACCTTTCTATACAAGAACCTACTGTTCGACCGATCGTTCCTATGGCAGCTATATGATAAAGTCGTCCGATTCAGCCGGCTCCGACATATGTAATGCGAGCAATAGAAATATGGATTTATGCAGTTTCATGACGATAGCTTTAAAGCTGAGACAGATGGACTTGGCTATCGACTCGGCCTTGATGATACTTATCTGCAATACCATATATATAATTTATGGATTCGGAGATGCCTGATTAGTAGACCCTCTACAAGGCTGAAGCTAGTTATAATTGGTTATTTCCTTATACCTGAAACAGCTTGAGGGTATTCAACATGTTGGCAATTGTGGTATCATGTGCGCTGTATATAAACACAGACCGATCCGGCGACAGTTGTTTCTTATGCTTGCTCTCCAAACGGGTGAGCACATCCTTGAGGAGCGGTCCGCCCTTTAGGCGCGCCAGCTGACGTGTGTAGGTATTTATGGAGAAGGCAAAATTCGAGACGTAGGTCAGGTCAGCGCCGCCGTAAACCTTTTGTGCCCATTCGGGCAGAGTTCGGTTGTACAGGGTTTCAATGAACAATGTGTTGTTGAAATATTGTGCATCCATAAATGACTTAATGGGCCGACCGCTATTTTGTCCCAAATAATCAAAGAGATCTTTGTAACGTGCCCACTTGGCCTGAAACTCGGCGGATGCCTTAAAGTTTTCCAGATAGTAGTCGAAGGCTGGACAAGGTGCCTTGGCAGCCAGAACCTGTTCAAAGGAAATTTCTGATTATTATTTAACAGATCTAACAAATTTAATACGTGAGATACCCCTACCGGATCATCCTTTTCGGGCACGGAATGCACCGGAATTGGCTGCCATTTGATCAGGGGATTCCAGACATCGTTGCCAACAGGCTCGTATAAGCCAGCCAAGTTTGACTGTGCACTCATGAGTGTGCGATCCACATCCGTGGACTGAACAAAGACCTGCTCCCTGTCGTACCTGGCGTCCAACAACGAGCTGTAACGTTTTCGAAGCCATTTGCCCAGCTCGTAGTGTTGTTGCTTGCCACGCTGACAAATAATTATGAGTAAGATTTGTTGAATCACAGCCCGTACAATTACTCACATTTGTAAGTTGACCCCAGCCTGTGGGCCAGTATTTACGATTGTTCCACGGATCTGTTGGATACGGGTCGACGGGCATTCGGTCGCCATGTCGAAATATCTGCATTGAAAGAACAAAGAACAAAGAGCATTTACCATATGGCACAAACTAGTATGCCCGGACATTGGCATTCACTTACCACATGCACGAACTTTAGCTCGCCAGGCAGGGTGGCCCGGACACCTTGAGCCTCCTCCTCGACATAGGTGGGGCGAAATGCATGGCCCAGATGGAAGCACGAGCATAGAAAGAAGAGGGCCTTGACACAGTAATGTGGGTACTTCCCCATCTTCGACAAAGGGGGTGCTCAACAAATTGGTAAATTGTTAAATAAGATGCTTTGTTGTGGCTGGCTGGTGCAATTTATGCACAATCGCGTTGCTCACCAGAGAAACAACTTGAAAGGAATATGGTTTAAGCAATTGCCATTGTTGCCCGATTGCCGTCGATATATTATTTCCAGCTGTGCTATCGATTAATTGTGAGTCGATAAGATAGTGTGACCAAATATTACAATATTTTCAGTTGACAAAATATATACTACAAATTTTTGTTATTTTGCTATGAATTGATGATTTAAAATACAAATTAGACTGTGCTAAGAGTGTTCACATGGCGTTGTGGCTTTGCTTGCGAATCCCCCACATATAACATTTGCCATATATATTGTAATTCGCCCTGAGTAACTGGTTTTTGCAAAACTATCGGTAACGCAGCATTCACAATATTGAGCTTCTACGCCTATTCGACTACGTTGCCCATCGCTAGTAAAATATGACGATCATATTTCACAAAAGGGGGCTTTCTGAGCGCAACAAAGAAATAAGTCGCAACAAGTTTTGCAATCCTATAACATTTTTTTTTATAACTTTTTGTTATGGCATCATTCGAGGTAAGATAAATCTTATCGCCAAACGGGAGACTGAGCCAATTAATTTGTTTTATGAGAACAATTTTAGCAGGACAAAAAAATGGAGGAACTCAAGCTTTTATTGGAGAACCGCAAGCAAGTTTGGAGGAAGACAAGCTTGAATTTGAGAAAGAAAAGTTTAAGAAAGAAGAAGGATTGGAACAAAGAAGGTTGAATCTTGAGCGATACAAGATACTTTTCGAGAAACGTCAATTCGAAATAAAAAACAATAAATCGTTATTTGACCTCAACCGTTTTGAGGATCACTTAAAATGGACATAAGACTGAATTCAACCTCTGTATCTCCATTACAGGTTGCTCTCATTTGTGTCTCTTGACCTTATAATAAAATGTGAAGTGGTCAAATCGATGATTTTATTTTTCTGTGATTGGCCATTAATTAGTATTGATAGTTTTCTTTTATGACGTCACGTTCGATAGTGCCACCAGCGATAATATAAATACTATCGAATTTTGATAGAACTATCGATTTCCTACATTTTTGAATTAAGATTGTTTATCTACAGATATTATAAACATGAAAAGATGTACCTGATTATATTTAACAGGGTATCCTAAATGGCATCTACCTCAAATTGGCAATTGTATAAAAACTCAAAGCAACCAAGTTAGCAATTAATATTTGTATTGATAATATCGTAAGTCGTCAAAAATAGGGAAGAACATGTCTCACTAGACGTTCGTGTTGTCAAACTTTCTATTTGCACATTGCTCAAATGGATAAATACTTTTCATACTTAATGAATACAATTAACAAATATACTGTTGATTGGTTGGGCTTAATATAACGCGTATTGTTATTGAACATTTGTTTCAAACTGTTTGCCTTAACTTAAGATGTTGCATGGGCGCAATTATTGGAAAACAAAATTCGGCTATTAGGTCAGCAATCTACATAGATTACACCGGCGTCTAGGGTCCATGATAAAATGTTACATACAGCATGTTGTTGGCATTAAAATCTTCTATTGCCGCTCATATTATGCGCTGGCCTGGGTCCATTGAACCTGCGTAAATCGTTTCTATTAAAGCATCGATTATGTATTGATCAATACAAGTTTCAGCTTACCGATTCCTATTTACAGGCCCACCCCCGCTACCATGACTACCCCCCAGGGGCGGAAAATCCGAATGATATGCATTTGCTGAGTTGTGAGTGTGCCCGTTTGCTGGTCCATGTTTGTTAAAGTTTTGCGACATGCTGCTGCTCGGCCCGTTGGGTCCACCACCACGTCGAGCACTGAATCCACCACGGCCAGCAAAGCCACCACGGTTGGCGTTAAATCCACCACGGCCGCTTTGCGTGCTGCCACTGTAAAAGTTAATAAATAATTTTAGTCAAACTTTATAGAAAACTTTATGTGTCCAGTGCTGCGATTGAGCTATTTTAGAATTATTGGCAGCATAAAATAGTTGATCATTTTATGTAATAACAACCCTGTTATTGCCAGGAATTATTGGAATAAGCTACTTTTTATAAGCAGCAGCTGGCATACGTCTCACCTGTTAATGCCAGAATTGTGGCGATTCCGCTGGTACATGCCACCATCGGCATTATTCCCGCTCGGTACCATTGTGCCGTTGCCAAAGCGACTTTGCTTTGCTCCGAACGACAGCTGCTGCTGCTGCTGGTGCTGATGCTCCACGGCGGGCAAGGCAAATCCGCGACGATCTTGGCCAATGTTGTTTGATGGTCCATGGCTGCCGCCGCTTCGGTGAGCGCCAGCAGCGCCGGCAGAACCAATATTGCCAGCATAGAAATCATTGTGACCCATTTGGCCCAGGCCTTGGTTAAATTTGTTTTTGTAAGGTTGTGCGGGCCCGTCAAAGTTCTGGTTCTGCTGCGGCAGGACCTTGCTGTAGGGCGCATTGCGCTGCTGTCTAAAATTGCCTTCATTTCGCATTGGCCCAAACTGACTTTCGTTCGAGTTTAATGATCGGCTGCCGCCACCTGCTCTGAAATTGTTGCCACCAGTGTGGCCGCCACCACGATTGAAGCTACCGCCGCCGTGACCTAAAATTGAACATATTTGTTATTCCCCATTGATTTAGTGCGTAAATTGCTTACCTTGTTGCATGGGTCTTCTGTTGCCGGCACTTCCCCCACCCCCTCCTCCTCCAACACCTCCGCCACCGCCACGTCTGTCTTTGGGCCTGCCCGGTTCGACGACAATGGTCTGACCTTTGAATTCAATGCCATTTAGAGCGGCAATCGCTTCCTCTGCCATTTCAATGGTCTCCAAGTGCACAAATCCGCACCTGTTCATAATATCGCATTCGACTACCACGCCATAATTTGTGAACAAATGTCGCAGCTCCTCGGGCTTGCAGCCAGGCGGCAGGCTGCCCACAAAGACTTTGGCGGTCTAAAGAGCAATTTAATACAAATTGAGCACTCCTCGTGATTTGATAACATTAGAAGGATAATACTTACAGACATATAGATTGGTACTTGTCTCGCTTTGTTTTTTTTTTTCGCGTGCACTTTTATTTTCTATTTCGTGTGTGCAAAACGCACAATAACGATGAATGCGATGAAAACAAACTCAGTTACTATCGCTGTTTCGATAGTATAGAGTCGAGTACAATTGTATCTACTTACACATTTTTGTAATAAATGTGGGCGCCAAGCACTGAAACATATTTTGCTAGCATGGACTACAGTGATTTTGTAATATCAATGGGATAATACTGACATACTTGTCACGCTTTGTTTCTTTTTTTCGCGTGCACTTGTATTTTTTATTTCGTGACCGATGAGTGCGATGAAAGGACACTCAGTTCCTATCGATGTATCGATAATATAGAATCGAGTACTGTTGTATTTGTTTACACTTTTTTTGTAATAAATATATTTTAAAGAATGTGGGCGCCAAGCACTGAGGAAACATATTTTGCCAGCATGGACTACACAAAAAACGTTATAAACATAATGCCCAGCGCAGAAATGCTGGTCACCTTCAGCGGAGGGGACAGGGACTTGATGCGCGCTAAGAAAGCTTGTTTACTGTACGCCGAAAGAGTTGACTTCAAGGAGCTGATTGTAAGCCCCGCCTTAAAAAGAAGCCTAGTTGTAAATATTCTAATTTACATGTTACACATGTCCCATAGCAATTGCGTTTGGCCGAGAAGTGCGATCAGCGACGCATGTACATCACCACGGTGGACAGCGTATCCTTCCAAGAGCTGAAACAGGATCAATCGCTAAATGTCACATTCGCTGGATTTATGGAAAATGTGATACGCATGCTGAAGGACTGCCAGGCCGGCAAGCTGGAGCTGTGCCTGTCCGCCAAGGAAACAGCTACCAGCACAGCTGAGCACCCGAGTCACGACTACCATCTGCAGTTCGTGGAAATACGCGCCTTCAAGAATCTGGTGCATTTGTGTCTGCCCTGTCGTTCCGCGCCGCTACACACGGTTCTCTTCTACATCAACACGACGCTAGATGTGGCTCACAAGAAGCTTTATTTGCTGGAGCAGAACATGCAGCAGTTGCAAATGGAATTGAATTCCCAAAACGCACACATCGAACAGCTAAGCTCAGACAATGGAAAATTACGCGAAGCGCTGGTCGAGAATACACGGCACCTGGGCGAAAAGCACTCGGCCGAGCTGCAACATATGCAGGATAAGCTGGAGAAGCTAAACGAGCAGCGTGCCAATGAGCTGGAGCGCAGCCGCCGCTCGGTTGCCGGACTGCAGACGCAGTTGGAGCGCGCGACGCTGGACAAGACGGAGCTGAAGACAATGCATGAGCAGGCCGAGAAGCGCAACCAGAGCCTCAACGAGGAGCTCACCTGCTGTAAATCGCGTATCTGCAACCTCAAGGAGCAAAACGAGAAGCTGCACACCGAGCTAACAGCTGCGAAGAAGCAAGAACGCAAACTAGAATATAAAATAGAAGACTTAAAACAGCACACTATGGAGCTGCAGGAGCACATACAGAAGGGCAACAAGGAAAAGGTGGGTGTGTCTCTCTTAGCTATTTATTTAAGCCAAACACTTGACATATATCAAGCTATAGGCAAACATTGCAGCCGAACTGGAGGCAGAAAAGAAGATACTCCATACCAAGCGGCAGGCACTGGAAATGGCCTCCGATGAAATAGCCAAAGCGAATCAAATAATACTCAAGCAATCGCAGGAGCTGCTCAACCAGAAGAAAACAATTTCGTGGCGCACTGAAGTGGCGCTGCAGCAGGAGAAGGCGATCAAAGAAAAGGAGAAGCTGCTGAACATGCGCGACGAGGAACTGAAGCAAACCCGACAAACCATCCAACAGCTGCGCGAAGAAATTCCACAGCAGCTGCAGTCCATGCGGCACTTTGCCCAGGGCCTGGAGGAGAAGTACAAGAATCGTAAGTGCATTATATTTAACCAATTAAAGTCTCAGACTAAGTCTTTGTTATTCCCTTAGAAATTCTCACGCTGAAGGAGCACTTGGAAGCGGCAAGCGGCAAGGAAAACTGCAGCCGCAGAGCGAATCGCAAATAGGCCTACATTTAGTAAGCATTATTGTGTATTGTATAAATAATTTGCATTGTTAGTTAACTGTTTTATCGTAGCTTTAATTAAACTTATTTATCTATTTGTGGGCTATTCGAAATCTTCATCCGGATTTCTGCCTTGTTGCACGTGCGCCGTGGCGACATTCACAACTTGGCTAATGTCTTCGAACTGATTCATTTTCAGCCTCTCGCGTATTAGCTCCGCGATGGCCTTCTGTGTGCGCCGCTCCAGACGCTCCAGTTTTTTGCTAACGTCCCGCTTAAGATCCCAGTCCGGCTTGCGCGGCGCCAGATTCGTGATGTCTATCTCATCGATGACCATGGGCTGCTCCAGCAGGCTGAGCTGGGACTGGACGGCGGATTCGATGTCTCCGGTGGGCTCTTGTGGCAGTACTTCACCTTCTGTATTTTCATTTTGTGGCTTATAGCTACGAAAAACTGGCCTAAAATTTTCAAATGTTGTATTCCAATGCAAACAGTGTGAAAAATGTCGCATCTCACCTGGGCAATTTCTCGGCAGCCCCCGAAATGCTGGTACCTTTTGATTGGGCTTGTTCGCGCAGCTTCTGCAAGCGCTCCTTGCGTTTTAGAGACTCCTCTGTAAGTTTGCCCAAATTGTTGTCATTGTTGGCCATTATTGAGCAAAAGTAAATAAAGCAAATATATGCGCTTGCCAATTGCTGCCTTTTATATCGATACAAATATGACAAAAACGAATAGCGATTGTTTTTTGTATGTTATCGATTTTAAGAGATATCGACAGAGACGTAAACATTGCATATTAATTAAATATAGTGATATATAGAAATCAAAATCAAAATTGACAAAATTTGGTTAAAACAGCGTATAAGCATGAAAAATATTGCTTATGAGCCACGAAAACGTTTGTCAATTGCATGACGATAGCTATTCGATAACAACTTATCGATAGGTGCACAACTGAATTGGATACATAAACATTGCAAGTTGGCAGCACATTTTCAAGGTATAAGTGTGAGGGGAGGATAAAAACAACGCAAAATTTTACTTGTAAATCAAAAAAAAAAAACAACAAACATATTTTGTTAAACTGTTATAATTATATTTGCCAAATTGAAAACCAAATAAGAGCCTCAAATTGCTGTTGCCTTTGACCCAACATGCAGCAAATATTTAAACACAATTAATAATGTGGCAGCTGCTGTTGCAATTGTTTTGGAGTAACAAAAATTAGCTGCTGCTGCTGCTGCTGGCGAGCGCTGCAGGTAAAAAACTCTTTGGCTATTAAAAAACTATTTTTATGTATTACAACGCCTCGGCGCGCGCAATGACAATGTATGCAAGCGTGTGCTAATTTGAGTTGGTTTTTGATTAAAGGGAGCCGCCGCCGCCGTCGACGTCGCCAACAATACAACGGACGATCGCCAACTAACTGCAGCGGCATCCGCCTCGTCGAGCTCATTGTTCTGTGACTGTGACATCGTTTATTCCTCGCCCGCTTGCCTGCTGCCCGGCCCGGACCCAGAGGCAGCTGCAGCTGTAGGCTAAAAATGGAGTGGACCAGAGAGAAGACGTTGCTGCTGATCAGCGAGTACCGACAGCGGCGCGGACTGTGGGATATGACATGTGACGAGTATCGCAAGAAGGATGTCAAGCAGCGACTCTTGAACGAAGTGAGCGACGTGCTCGGCGGCAATATACCAATATCGGAGCTGGAGAAAAAGTTTCACACGCTTCGCACGCAATATCATCGCGAAATCAATCGCATGAAACGCAAGGAGCCCTACAATTCAAAGTGGTTTGGCTTTAAGAATCTCGTGTTTCTCAGCTCGCCCTTTGCCTGCCGCTCCACCAAAGGCCGTTCCAAGGAGGATCCCTCAGCACATAAATACATATTGGGCGAGGTGAACACATCAGCAGCAGCAGCCGCCGGCTCAGCGGAGGGCAATAATATGAACGACGAGTATATGATTGCGTCGCGCAAGTCGCATGCCAGCAGCCGGGCGCAGGAGCTGGAGAAGCTAATCGAGGAGACGACCAAAGATGTAGAAGATATTGACGACGATGAGCCGGGTGTCGAAGAGGACGTCGATACAAAACCCAAGCTGAGCAAAGAGCTGAGCGGCACGTATGTGCACATCAACGAGGATGAGCAGGAGCCGCTCGAGACGCACACACACCATCAGCCGCAGCAACAGCCACAGCATACCCATCAGTCGTCCATGATGGAGCTGCACCACTCTGGGAACGCTGTGGAGGCCGTCAGTTTTCAGGCCAGCGAAAGCGGCGAACTGCACTACCAAACCACAACGACATCCGGCAATAGCGGCAATAGCTCCTCCGTGCATGTGGTGCCCACGCGCATTATAAAAATACAAAGGCGTGACACGTCCAACCAGGAGAACGGCTACTTTGAGGAGCAGTCCACACAGCATCAGCTGCATCCGCCGCCGCCCAAACGACTCTACTTCGATCCCAATGGCACGCACAGCACCACAATACTCTCCGCCTCCACGCTGGCAGCGGCCACCCAGAACGGCAACGGCAGCAATGTGCTGACCACGACAGCCGGCACGGCCGTAGCCGGCGGCACACTGCGTCTGCCACGTGTCAATGCCATAGTCAACACGCAGTCGCTGTCGCCGCCCAAGCCTGCCAGCTCACCCATACCTCCACCCGCTGTCGTCAGTTCGCAACGCGACGAGTTCTCCACTTACGGCGAATACGTGGCCAACGAGATGCGTGCCATTGGCAACAGGGAGGTGCTGATCGCGCTGAAGCACAAAATCAATACGGCCATCTTTGAGGCGAATATGGCGGAGCTGCAGAAATGAAATTGAAATAGAAAATGGAAAAATAATCAATTATGCAGACGAGTTTTTAGCAAGAATTTATATTAAGTTTCCATTTTAATTGTCGAAAATCGCAATCCCCCAGTAATAACAATTGTAAAGCTTTCGTGTTTTTATCTCTGTGTTTCAAACTGTAAATTGACATTAATTCACACAATATAATATGTATGTAACAATTTGATTAAATAAGCCAAATATAACATTTAGAAGAATCCGAATATCTGTATATATTAAAAAGAGTTTGACCTGAGAAGAGAATTATATATCCAAGTAGGCGATTTGTATTTGTATCTCAATCAGTGTTCCCCTTACCTTTAGATAAATTCTTGTTTCTTTTGTGTTTTTTTTTTTTTTGGTTTTAAATTTCGGTAAAATGATTACGAATCCAATTTGCGAACCGTTTACAAATTTACCCGTCAGAGTAGATATTGAGAAACTGGCAGCCGAATTTAAGCCCAAGGATAAGGAAAAAGGTGTCGAGAAATCGAAAAGTCCACGTGATTTTCTCAATATTCCCGACAAGAATTGGGTGGTATTGCCCATGTTTAAATATCATTTGGATCATTTAAAGCCATTTCTCTCGCTACGCACCAATCCATATATGCGTTGCCGTTACGTAAAGTTTCTAAACAATGTGCCTGAAAACTATGTGAACGTTACTTTATTCAGTTCAAACATTGACAAGTATTTAATTTATTTGAAATTAATAAAAAATAGATGTATTAATACATATAATTTAGTCAGCCAAAGCCACGAAGAAAATCGCTTAATGGACAATTTTACGGCGTGGACTATAAATTGGCGCCAATACCAGTTTCAGCGGATCCACGGAGTTACGCGGGCTCAAGATCGGTCAAATCAAAACATACTTCCAAGTAGCCGTTCGAAAATCTTAAATTTGCCGCGCAACTCTGTTATTGTTATCGGCTGTAAATGTCATCGAACAGATACAGACTGGAGTTATCGGCAAATAATGGGCAACCCTAATGGCAGCAGATGCATTTGGCAACACTGTTCGATCAATTGGGACGAAAAATGTTTACAAAATGCATTAATTGTTGTGCTCCAATAATTATTTGTGTAATATTTACATGCCTTTTGGTCGAAAACTGTGGCAAGTACCGAGCTGAACATATACATTCTATTATTTATTGAAATTACGATCCGTCTTGACCAACAGTCGCCCTGAAACGCACGCTGCGCCACTACGAGGTTTTCCACAGAGATGATGTTGTACATCGGATTGTCAAGAGGGGCGTTAGGCAGAGCAATAATCCATACAACACCATCAAGGAGCTGGAGTTCAAAACACTTGGCAAAAACTTTCGCGTGATTTTACATCCACATCGCGATGTGCTCCACAGCAAATTTCGTGCGTACGCCGTGGACGCCGATGGAAATGAAACTGTTGTCCACTTGGGTAAGTTATATAGTTGGTTTATATCAGTAAAAACTAACTTTTACTTTGTGCGCGCCCAGATCACGACAACTTTTATACGGGTCGCGTCTTTGGCGAGTTGGAATCGTCGGTGCGTGCACATATCGAGGATGGCACATTGACCATGTCCATTGAACTGCCCCAAGAAACCTACCACATAGAGCCTTCCTGGCGCCACTTGCCGACAGCCAAAAAGCATACAATGGTCGCCTACAAATCTTCCGATGTCAAACTCAATCACGCCGAACACGGTTCGGTGCCCAAGACTTGCGGCTATATCAAAGAGGGCCGCGAGCTAGAAGCCAAGGATGAGTTAATCGTGCGGGACAAGCGTCAAGCGGATCAGTACGAGTACACGCCCACCAAAACGCGCTGCCCATTGCTACTGGTGGCCGACTATCGTTTCTTTCAGGAAATGGGCGGTGGCAACACAAAGACAACCATCAATTACCTAGTAAGAGGAGCATATCCCGTCGATGCTATTGTCTCATTTGCCTTGCTTCCTTTTTTTTCTTCAGATAAGCCTTATAGATCGTGTGCATAAAATCTATAATGATACAGTATGGCAGGATCGGTCCGACCAGGAGGGCTTCAAGGGCATGGGCTTTGTGATTAAGAAAATCGTTGTACACTCGGAGCCGACACGTTTGCGCGGCGGCGAGGCCCACTACAATATGATACGCGAAAAATGGGATGTGCGCAATCTGCTTGAGGTGAGTCTTTGCCGTCTTCTGACATACATGTTGATTAGTTGTCCAATTCCAGCTAGCTAATTCTTGTAAATCTTATTCTACTCCCATACAAACTGCTAACTGTCTCTCGTCTCTTGCCAATTTATTCATGCATCATTTATGTAGGTCTTCTCACGGGAATACAGCCATAAAGACTTTTGCTTAGCTCATCTCTTTACCGATCTCAAATTCGAAGGTGGCATTTTAGGCTTGGCTTACGTTGGCTCCCCACGCCGCAATTCTGTGGGTGGCATCTGTACACCAGGTTGCTAATTCCCACACAATTAAACACAAATCAAACACATCATGTTTAATCGTTATCATTTCGCTTACCCTTGTGTTTCCTTTCTGTTTTGTAGCCGTCGTGTTCAGTTTGTTTTTACTTTATACCCTTGCAGAGAATATTATTATTATTATTTGTCATTGGAATGTGTAAAGCAATATCTCCGATGCCATTAGCTATATATATATTATACAAATTCTTGACCTGGACGAGAAGCTGAGTTGATGACATATATGTATCAGTTTCTATGCAATCCCCAGAAATTATTTATTTCCAAATTTATAATTGGTCTTTCTTTTTTCCTACATATTTTCCTACTGACCCTAGAAAATAGCTCTCAATCCTCTTCAGGTTCTTAAATGATTCAATTCCTAATTTATAATTGCCCTGTCTTCTATCCTACATATTTTCCTATAGAAGTTGTGGGATAAACTTAATCTCTAATAAATATTTGCAACTATCCACAAAATAGCCCCAGGTAATTTGTGGCTTGAATCTCCTATTAGAGTTGTCTTCGGTATGAGATTTGTTAATTAAATCCCAACGAAAACTATTTTATATTTGAATACATCGAGCTTTATCATAATTACAGAATTATTTCAAATATGTTTTTCATTTATGTCTGCAAGGGTTTTTATTTTTGCATGTCTACTTTCTAAGAATTATTACTGAGTCGTCTCATTTGTTTAACTATCTCAAGAATACTTCAAAAATGGCTATACACTCTACCTGAACTCGGGCCTGAGCAGCTCGCGCAATCATTACGGCCAGCGTGTGATAACGCGCGAGGCCGATCTGGTGACTGCCCATGAATTTGGACACAATTGGGGCTCTGAGCATGATCCCGATATACCCGAGTGCTCACCTAGTGCCTCACAAGGTGGCAGTTTTCTAATGTACACCTATTCCGTAAGCGGTTACGATGTGAACAACAAGGTAAAATCATGCAGCTGATTATAAAATCATTTATAAATAATAGTTCTACTTGTAGAAATTTTCGCCCTGCTCCTTGCGTTCAATACGCAAAGTACTGCAGGCCAAGTCTGGCCGCTGCTTCTCGGAGCCTGAGGAATCCTTCTGTGGCAATTTACGTGTTGAAGGCGACGAGCAGTGCGATGCCGGCCTGCTAGGCACCGAGGACAACGACTCGTGCTGCGACAAGAACTGCAAGCTGCGCCGCAATCAGGGCGCCATGTGCAGCGACAAGAATTCGCCGTGCTGCCAGAACTGCCAGTTCATGCCGGCGGCAATGAAGTGCCGCGAAGCGCAGTATGCCACCTGTGAGCAGGAGGCGCGCTGCACGGGCTCGCATGCCGAGTGCCCCAAATCCCCGGCAATGGCCGATGGTACCATTTGCCAGGAGCGCGGCCAGTGTCGCAATGGCAAATGTGTGCCCTACTGCGAGACGCAGGGACTCCAGAGCTGCATGTGCGACATCATAGCCGATGCCTGCAAGCGCTGCTGCCGCATGAGCATCAACGAGACATGCTTCCCGGTGGAGCCGCCCGATGTGCTGCCCGACGGCACACCCTGCATAACAGGCTTCTGCAACAAGGTCTTCCACTTTGCACACTTTTATCCTATATCCAAAATCTCTATCTATATATATTGGTATTCGTGTACAGGGCGTGTGCGAGAAGACAATACAGGATGTCGTCGAGCGTTTTTGGGACATTATCGAGGAGATAAATGTTGCCAAAACATTGCGCTTTCTCAAGGACAACATTGTCAGTAAGTAAAGAAAAATATAAAGATCTTGGTGTACGTTATGAAAAAGCCTTGACGAGGATTATAAAACCTAGCCCTGGCAAGACCGGGAAATATCTCTGAGTATAGCATAATATTTTTTGCTGCTCTTACAGTGGCCGTTGTGATGGTGACCGCCGTCTTCTGGATACCCGTCAGCTGCGCCATCTCATATTTTGATCGCAAGAAGCTGCGCCTTGAAATGAAACAAATCGAGTGGAGTCACAAACTCGACCTCATACATCCCAGTGACGACAGGCGTCGTGTTATACACATACGGTAGGACTAGCTTGAAGTCTGAAATGGAATTTTATATATTTAATATATATTATGCATTTGCAGTGTACCACGGCAGAAGATCTCAGTGGCGCGTGCTTGTAATTAGCATATAAAAACCGGGTGGCGGCCATTGTTTAATCTTCCGTGAGCATTCTTCTCAAAACTGCCACAATTATTTGATATTAAGTATAACATTTAATAATACATAATGAATAAAATTCCCGATAATATAGACCAATTCAAAGGGGCATTGAGCAACAGATTCAAGTCTGACAATTTAGAGCGATTTCTTAGATACAGATTTCAAATGGTTAAATAATTATCTCTATCAAATATCTTTATCCGTGTATATTTCTCAATGTCTAGAAAAAACTTAAGCTTAGTTATGAATTAATTAATTGTGATTTGTATTGGATTGTTTTAGTTTATTCATACTTTAGCAAAAATATGGTTTTTGTTTCGGAGTTTCTTCTACTGCATACTGTTAATAATTATGATTGATTTTTCTGTTTGTAGATTAGCTTACTGGAGGTGTGTGTTTCACATTGTATTACTTCTTTTTTATGCTCTTGCCATTTGTCTGTGGTGAACAATCGTCATCAAGCTCCAATTCACTGTCATCCTCGTCGTCCGAATACTCCTCGTACATTTGCCCGTCGTCGTATTCACCCAAGTTCATCTCCGCCTGCGGAGAAACGTGTGGAAATTGTAAATTAGATAATTTTTAAGAGGCGCATCATTTACCTTGCCGCAGACATAGACCGGCCCCGTGCCCTGGACCAGTTTGAATGTGACGGAGCCATTGGGGAATTCAACATTTGGCCTCAAACTGCGAGTTTCGCCAACCTTTAGGACTGCAATGGGAATTTTGACTGTCTTCTTCTCGCCGTCGTCGTGCACGTTGGTTTCCGCCTGCAGATGCCCAAGTAATTTGTTATGTGATATGAGTACTAATAGACCACAGCCATAACCCCAACCCCTCGACAATCCCTTGACCAAGTGCTTGTCGGTATTTTTCCACTTGAAAATTGTTTATGTACATACCTGTACAACATTGAATTCACCAGATTTTGCCTCGGGTCCGAGTGATATCTGTTTAATGATCAGCTTGTGCGAGTGTACTATGTACTCCTCTGGTATTTCCGGCACATCAAACTGTGCAATTGGCTCTTTTTCGCTCAGCGTAACACCTGAAATGGGAGCATAATTGTTAATACTGCCGTTATTAATAAATATAGTTAGCCGGCGATTCCGTAAAAGCAGACACTTGTATCCTGTATTGCCCGTGCAGGACTCAACAATGTTGGTTGCTGCTCACCATAAAAAGATTCGGACTCCATTTGTATGCTCGAGGAAACGCTCTTGTACAGTCCAATTAAAGAGTTTATGAAAACTTGTACTTTTCACACGTGCCCGTACAATGGCGATAGCTGAAGAGACAAATGCGGTAGAAATGATGCTAGACATTCATCGATGATACCGATATATTAAACCGCCGATAGTACTTGACAATTAACGATATGAAAAAAAATTAAAACTTTAACAATATAAACGTTTCAAGCGTTTCAATGATAAGCATAAGGGGAAACTATGTACATATCTTTGCTTTAATTTAACACCCATTTAATAATAAATCGTAAACGATTATTGGATTCGCAATTAATGTCGTTACATCTGGTAACGCCATGCGTGCATGGCCAACACATCACTAACTTGCGTTGCATCCCTAGTTGTTAGCTACCATTTTGCAAAAGTTTTTGCTCAACACGTGCTCGGCGCTTGAATTTTAGAGTTAAAACTATATCAAGTAATTGCGATGGCAGAGGAATCATTCTATGGTAAGTATTATTTTTTTGGCGCGCCAATTGTGCACTGTGGGAGCGACAAGAGTTGGGTTTATTTGCGGTGCGCTGGCCGTGCGCCGGCTGCCGGCATTTTTATTCAAGGTTGCGTGTGCCTGTATGTGCGTACATAGTGTGCATACACAAGCATACAATGTATCTGTGTGGTTAAGCGCATAAGTGGTTGTATTTTTATTTTATCAATTTACAACTAATACGTTTAATTTTCAGGTGTTACCCTAACCGCAGAAAACAACAGCGTCACCTGGGACGTTGTCGCCGATGAGGATTATGCACGAGGCCAGAAGCTGGTCATCAAGCAAATCCTGCTGGGCGCCGAGGCAAAGGATAATGAGTTCAACGTGGTCGAGGTAAGTGCGCCAGTCAAGTTTGTCTGTTCGTCTGTGTACATGTGTGTGTGTCTGTGCGTGCTGTAGTGTGTGTGCAAAACTCTTATTGTCGCCTGGGCATGGACCGGTTTGCATTCTCCAAGCACGCGCAAGGGTAATTTTGTCTGTATCTGCAGTACGCGCCCTTTGTCTGTTACCGCTGCTGCTCTTCTGTGTGCATAAATGTGACGTCACAAAATGCCCAACAGTCTGCTTTACATATGCTAAAGCTTAAAATACGCCAGCCTAGCAAATATGCCAAAACGAGACAAAGTAAAAATCGTTATGTTTAATTTTTTTTATTGTAATTCTATGTATACATAAATTGACAGACCATTATAATTATGTTAAAATAAAGGTTTAATTAGCTCTATAGGAACCGACGTTAACGAAAAAATGTTAGGGTAGGGTGTAGGACAGCATATGTTGTTGCTCTCTTTAGATACATTTAGTAAATCAAACCCCTAACGACGACTCAAATAAGCTGTAGCGCTTAATACAGGGTATCTACGCGGCGACTACTCGTGAGTCAAATACTTATTTAACTGTAGTTAGCAAAACAGTTTTATTGACTCAAGTCGCATGCAATTTGATCGCATTTATTGTTGCGACCCTCTGCTATCATTTCTAATAGCTCCGTGAAGCTTTTCGTAAACCAGAACATGCTGCGGGCCTTCCTTTGCAGCCGGCAGATCACGCCCGCCGCCCTAATATCCCAATTCCAGCAGATGAGCTCGCACTGCAATAGCTGCAGATCATCTCGCAAAGAGATTAAATTCTGTGCGGAAAAAAGGCAAATTGTGTGTGAAATATTATATCTGATGTGCCTAGAGTTTCATTGTTAAATATGGCAAAAAAAAAAGCTGAATAAACAGGCCTGTCATCAAAATACCAAAAAGTAGCTATATTAGTTTAAAGTGTCAACTCTGTATCCAACACTGGCTTCGAATGTCACCTGCAACCAACCCGATTGACAACTCTGTCGCGTGAATGTACTTACCAGCGCCACGGTCGCATCAATTGAGCGAATCTCCGGGCCTTTAATGATCATTAGTCTGACTGTGTCTGTTTGCTCCGTCACGTGAGCGACAGTTGTCGTTTTCAAATATTCGGCAGCCGTGTAGTCCACGTCGCCCTTCAGCTCCGCCAAGCACAGCTCGAGGCCATTGTGCTATTTGATAAAAATAATCGAATTGAAATTATTGCAAAATGCCTCAAAATCATGCTCACCTTTTGCGTTTCGAGCTGAAACTGTGGTGTCATGCTTTTCCCCAGTATAAAGAGGGCGTTGATAGCCATGCCCACCAACATGCCGTACTCCAGGGACCAGAATAAACAGCTCAAAGCGGTGGCCACAAAAGGAACCAAGTCGCGCTCTGTGTAGGAAGAAAAAAAAGAAGAAGAAATGGATTGGGCTATAAATGTTATATGGATAAATGGGGAACTTACTTTTGGCGCGCCAGATCTCAGCTATTGTTTCATACTCCACCATAAACAGCATGGCCGAGATAATGATGGCCGCCAGCGTAGCCTTGGGTATATAGCCAAAGGTGGAGGTCAGAAAGGCCAGGGTCAGCAGTATCAGGATGCCGGTAAAGGCGCCGCCTAACGGCGTCCTCACACCGCTCGCATTGTTGATCGCCGAGCGGGCAAAGGAACCAGTTATGGGCATCGAGGAGAAGAAGCTGCTAAACAGATTACAAAAGCCCAGAGCAATCATTTCCTGCGAAGCGTCCACAATTTTGCCCTTGGCTAAAAAAGTATTAGCATTAAATGTATTTAAATAAGACAAAGGCTTGTAGGTTCACGCACAGAAAGCCTTCGCAATCGAAACGCACTCCAGTATGCTCAGCAGTGGAATCGTTGCGACTGCTCCGCCCAAATGGGAGAGCATGTCGCCAAAGCTCAGGGGCTGTCCCTCAGCGTCCACTGTGTGAAACGGCGGCGGACGAAAGGGCGGCAGACCCGGCGTGATTTTATCGCTGATCCGGAAGGGCAATTCCTCCGTGTCCCGGCTAAGCAGATAGCATAACAGGATGCCAATGATAACGGCCAGCACGTTGCGGCACAGGGACAAATATTTGGTTAGCTGGCGGCAGCCACATGGCAGATCCTTCAGTTTCTACTCTGAGGATTAGGATTAAATTCACTTTATTGGCCTGCATTTGACTTACTCGCATGATCAGCAGTAGGATGAGCGTGCCGAAGCCGAGTATCGCATCGTTGCGGCGCGTCTCCTGAATGTGTCCGAAAAAGTTGATCCACGCGCTGAGAAAGTCATTCGATTTGCTTTGTATGCCAAAGAGATTGTTGATCTGGCCGCTGCCCACAGTCAAAGCAGCGGCGAGTGTAAAACCCGTCGTAACTGGCACCGAAATATAACGCACCAAAACGCCGAGATTCAGTAAGCCAAGCAGCAGTATTATGCAGCCGGAGAGGAAGCACATTAATACGGCATAGTCCGGATTACCGCTGACATGCGGATAAATCATCATGGACATGATGGCTGTGGGACCTGACGAATAGATTAGATTAGCGACAGGCAAAGACAGCTTCCACTCCCAGCTAAGACTATCTGGAGCTTGATAAGTAAGCTTTTGTTCCATTCATTTTGCTAGCCACTCACCCACTGTGATATCCTTGCAGGTGCCGAATATTATGTACAGAAAGCAGCCCATAAATGATGAGTAGAGTCCGTAGACAGGTGGCAGTCCGGCGACGGCGCCATACGCAATGCCCTGCGTGACGGCCGTCAGGCCGACCGTCATGCCCGCCACAAAGTCGACTATTAGATATTTCGGTTTGTACCTGGGCAGCCAGCTGTAGACGGGTAGCATCCGCTTGAGGGTCGACGTACTGCAACAGCTGCGCGCCTTGGCGCCCAATGCGCCGCACACATCGGGCAGGCGCTCGTGGTAGAGTTCATCTGAGAGGGTAAAAGGAACAAAAGTACTTAAGCTTGATTAAAAGCAACGAAATGATTAGCCAGCTTCTTATCTAGTTGTCAATGTTATATTGTGTATTGCTTTTCACTTGAAGCGTGTTCTCAAGTGGAACGACAAGTTTTACCTTGCTTGGGCGCTGGCTGCGTCACAAATTAAAGATCTCTACTGCTAGATATAGTATGCTTTCCATATAGTATAGAAATGTTTTCGATGGCAATCATCTGTAGAATTCCATTGTGATAGCAGTGTCAATGTACACGCTTGCAGAACGACAACCATTGTTTTTAAATACATATTCCTTAATTATTTCGATAGGATATTGTTAAGAAAATATTCAATATTAACTAAGAGCAATCTCTGAAGTTGAATTTCATTCAATTTTTAGTTATTACTTCAACCCGCTCGGCTATGAAAATCTTTTTTCTGAATGCACTCTTTCAAAATAGTTGTCTATTAAAATAGATATAATTGGATTTCTTTTTAGTTTTTAAATTGTGGCTGAATCACAAGAGCTAGATGTATGTATTCCTTAAAACATCAACATGCTTTTGAATATCTCAGGTAGAAATCAGCTGCAGAAAATACATCCATAATCGATTTAGAGCTAATATTAACTGAGAAATATCTCTGAAGATTAATAGATTATTCCTTGTTAATTTTAACCATTTTTCAGAGACTTTACTATTCTCTCACATTCTCTCATTTGATTCCATAAAAAGTTGCTTATTATAATCAACATAATTGGAAATCTATCACATTATTGGATTCACTTATCAATTGTTGCCACGTACCGTCATAGTCGCACATGTCTGTGAATAATTCTTATTATTATTACTTTTTTTTTAACCCTTCACACTAAGTGGCTTTTATATATGATTAACTTTTCGCGAACTTGTTAAACATAACACGTGCTTGTGGTTTTTTCTATACGCTTAAGTGGGAGGACTTGAATTTAAACTTCCGTTCGGATTTGTGGAGCAGAGCTTGCGATGTTGTCTCTCCGGCAGCAGCTCGCCGAATGGCCCGACCAGAAAGCATTAGCACACTTTTTACGTTCCCGATTTCACCCAGTTATCACACTTTTTTTTTTTGGTTTCTTTAAAATGTTAACGTCGATTAAGGAGAACTTTTGTCGAAGATTAGCTTTGGGACAGATCGAAGATTTGTCGAAGATCAATATGGGACAGCTACGATTAACAAGAACTCTTGTTGAAGATTATCTTTGCATTATTTTTATAGAATTCTTTAATGTGTGTTCATATTCGATTAATCATATTAAGAACTGGACTTATTTTGGTCAAAATGTTTAAGCTGATCAGGAATATATATGTATAATATATAATATGCTCGACAGGATCGGATCGTAACATTTAATAATACCCTACGTATGGACGAATTGAAAGTTGATGTGGTGTCTTTTTAAATTAATCCCCCAGCTTCGATTAAGTTTTGTGATATCGTACACATATATCTCGACAAATTTCCTGCTTACTTTGTGCCCAACAGGTGACCACAATGAAGGATTCGGTGCAAATACCGATTGCCGTGCTGAAGGCTGGCGAGACACGTGCCGTCAATCCCGATGTCGAGTTCTACGAGTCGAAGGTAACATTCAAGCTGATTAAGGGCAGCGGACCCGTCTACATACACGGCCAGAACATCAAGGATGATGTTGAGGTGGTTGACATGGAGGAGGAGGATGATGAGGACGATGGCGAGGACGATGAGATCGAGCATCCAAAGAAGCGAGCCAAAATCGAGCCGAATGCTGCCGATAGCAAAAATGCCAAGAACCCGAAAAAGAAGTAAAAACTCAAAAAGCAATTCTCTAAGCTAAATCTGTAGATTTTAAAAAGTGTTTTAGGCCCTATAAACAATACAATTATACAATATTATAACACACACAACTACATACTTACGCTATGTAAAACTACAATTTAGTTCCTTTCTCTCAGATCCTTGAAACATTCAAAACTTTAAATATTGATTATATACGACTAAACCCCAATCCGTATGCAATAAGCCAGAGATAAACCCCGATTTAGTCAGCATATTTGTATATAAGTACTTACAATGCGATTTCTCGATTTTATACAACAAAAATAAACAACAAACTGTCGTCGGTATACAACAACAAAAATTGAACAGGATATTCGTTTTCTGTTTTAACATCTTTTATTGATTCACTTATTGTTTCTGCATTCTGCCTAAATAGTGGGGAAATTGTTACATTTTCTACTGAATTTCATTCCGATCGAAAACAGGGAGAAACCATTTTGCGGGAATGCATATAAAACATATTTAAAATTTCTTTGCTCGATTCGTTGCACTCTTTAAAATGGGTTGTTGAGTTTAATCGCAGGAGGGCATCACTTTGAGTCGCTCGTAGACTGCCTTCTCCAGGGCCTCGCGATGTTTGGGATCGGCGATTTGGATCAGTTCGTATGAACGCTGGCGCACATTCTTGCCGAACAGCGAGGCAATGCCGTGCTCGGTGACCACGTAGTGAACGTGTGCGCGGGAGGTGACGACGCCAGCACCTGAGAAATCAAATCGGTAGAATTAGCAATCGATGCTTTTATTTATGAATAAAAGACCTTTACCTGGCTGAAGCGTTGGCACAATCTTGCTGCCTCCTTTGCTGGTTGTCGACGGCATGGCAATGATGGGCACGCCCAGGCCATCGGTGCCCTCGGCTGCGCCACGTATAAAGTCCACCTGACCTCCGAAGCCGGAATAGAAGCGTGTGCCAATCGAATCGGAGCACACCTGACCAGTCACGTCCACCTCAATGCAGCTGTTGATGGCTGTCATGCGTGGCTGCTGCTTCACAATTCCCGTATTGTTCACGTAATCAATGGCCAACATTTCTGCGGATAGGATTACGGATTAACAACATATAATATAATAGGGAATCTATCTGGCGTATAGTTCCTACCGATAAACGGATTGTTGTTGACAAAGTCGTAAAGCGGCTGATCGCCAATCAGGAAGGAGCCCACGATGCGACCCTGGTGCATTTTCTTCTTGCTGTTGGTGACACAGCCCTTCTTGACCAGATCGACAACGCCATTGGCGAACATCTCCGAGTGTATGCCCAGATCCTTGTGATTGTGCAGAGCGGCAAGCACGGCATCCGGTATGCTGCCAATGCCCATCTGTAGCGTGGCGCCATCCTGGACCAAATTCTCGGCAATCAACTGGCCAATCTTCTTCTCCACAGCCGAAATCTCGCCGGTGCCATGCTGCGGCAGCTTGTCGTTGACCTCGATGGCAAAGTCAAAGTGCGACTTGTGGATGATGGAATCGCCAAAGGTGCGCGGCATATTGGGATTGATTTGGGCTGTACAAAAAGTGGGTTAAAATCATGTTGTTTGATTTACGAATCATTCGAGTCCATTTACCAACAATCTTCTTCGAGTTGACCAGCGCGGCTCGGACGCAGTCGACGCTGGTGCCCAGGCTGCAATAGCCGTGATTGTCCGGCGGCGACACATGGATGAGCGCCACGTCCGGCTGAACTATCTTCTTGTAGAACAGCTGCGGTATTTCATGCAGAAATATGGGCACATTGTCGGCCCGGCCCTCGGCGACGGCCTTGCGCACATTGGCACCCATGAAGAAGGAGTTCGAACGGAAAATATCCTCGTACTCGGGCTTGCAGTACTCGGCCGGTCCCTCCGTGTGCATGTGGCAGACGGTAATATCCTTCAGCCTATTGCACTTGCCATACTGCGTCATGGTATTCAGAAGCGTTACCGGAGTGGCAGCTGCGCCCTGAGCGAAAACCGTGTCGCCTGTAAAAATTTGGAGCCTATTAAAAAAGGGGGTTTATCCAAGAACTACATTTATAACAGATTTTATTTTGGTAAAAATTTATGTTTTTATTGAATTTTTAATTGATTGATTGCTGATGAGCCGGGCAACGCCAGATAACTAATATAATATACCATACGAATATCAGTTACTTTTAAACAAATTATTTATCTGGAAAACATTTTTTTGGCAGTATTATTTTTAAAAGTTACGATTTAATAGGCAACCCAACTTTAATAAACGGTTTTTTTTTTTGGTAAAAATGTGTATAATATTTACGTTTACCCCCTCTTCCCACCATGTAAATACATATTTTGGCTGTAATCACATTTTACAGTAACGTTTTACGAAATCTTTAATAAACGGTAATTTTTGCACGTGCTATTATATTTTTGGGAATCTAGCCAAAAATACGCACGTCAATAGACTGGGCAAAAATAAGCAGTTACAGTGAACATTCATGCACACGAACTAGCTACGTAATTTTTTAATTTTGTATTATCTTAGCGAGTGTTTACTGTACTTGATATGACTAGTTGACGTCGCAGAGCGTCGCAACGCGCAGCCAACTTATTTACATGCGGTATGTACTGTGTATATATACACATGTGTGTGTGCATATGCAAGTGAGTGTTTGTGTGTGTGAGAGCATGCCAATAATCTATTTTTATTACGCCCTACAGATGCAATGTCGTGAAGATGCCTGCCTATACATTTATTAATGCACAAAACGGGTGTGCTTGTGTTTGTGTTTGGCCATAAAAAAGTGCTTTAAAATAATTTACATTTAATAATTTTCATGAATGATGTTTGTTATTTCCCATTCATCAAGCTTGTCGAATGAAGTACGCATTATAATACATAACAGCGTACTTGCCTTATTGGCCAAATTGTTGCATAGAAAACAAAAGCAAAACAAAAAAAAAATAAACTTTTCCAAATGAAATGACGTAGCCGATTTAGTTCGGCGCGCGTGTGTGAATTGATCTAAATTTAGAACGACAGCGCTAACTGTATTTGTACAAGACTCCGTTAGATCAAAAATGAAGCACTTAAAGTGCGATCTAAAAATCAAAAAAGATGTAAATAAAAATATGTTTGGGGGGGCAGGGCTTCTAAACAAGTTTTATGACATTTCTTTTGCTTTGAGCTCTTGCGCAACTACCGATTGAAATTGATTAAATCAAAGCTAAATTAGCACCAACAATTTAGCAAATTTATTTCGGCTGTAGCTCTGTTATCAGAGCCGTGGACCCGCCCACTTGAAAGCAGCCAATAAAATGCTAATTCGCCCCCACGCATCTCTCGCTGTACAGTCCCCTCAACTTTAGATGTTGTTGCATAATGTCGGACATGCATATGTACATACACTAAAACAGTTTTAGCTTTGTAGTTATTATTATTATGTATGTACGTAGATAAGTTGCCCTTATCAGCACAGCTGTCAGCGCAGGCAGGTTCTAACGGCAATTGCTGCGTTTTAATGTGTGTGCGTGCCTGTGGCACTAAGCTCAGCTTTTGTCGGGCGCAGCAAAACAGCTGGACAGAGTCCAAAGTACGATGTTATCTAACACTGCTTGGAAGGAAAACAAATTGCAGCTGCAGCTGGAGCGAGTCAGAACCTGAAACTTTTCAACCAGTGCTTAAAACAATTACAAAGTACATATGTATGTGTGTACATACGCATATTAGAGAATTTAGTTTTGTATGATTTGTTATTCCTAGGGTATTTTGCATACGTGGGCGCGCAGAGCTCGTAAATAACTGATAAGTCCACTGTCAGTTCATAGGACTAATCACGGTCAATTGATTTCTTTATGGGCCCAGCTACTGAGCACCCTGTAATTGCCCACTTAATATGTTTATGTGTGCGCACACACACAGGCACATGCATGTGTGTTAATAGTTTGATTTACAAACGCGCCACAAAAACACACGCACTGGCGCGCCTTTCATTTGCATTCTTTGAGCGGTCGTCGGCCCCCTCCACGCGTCCCTTTGGCTATCTTCAACCTTTGCTTTGCTAAGCACACAATTTAGGGCAAAGGGCTGAGGGGGGCAATCACGTTAGTGGCTGGCATTTTCAGCGGCAGATATTACATAACACTACATTTTTGCCATTCTGCGACGCCACAAACAAATCTCGGCAAAATTATGAAAGGGGGCAACGCATCCGGGGATTCGGTAAAGAGCTACTCACCAGATTTAATGCAGGCGACGGCTTCCTCTGGCGACACAATTGGGGGCTCGCGTGGAAGCGGATGCGACAGCTCCTGCACATAGGTAAAATAGTTGTTGTGCGTGGAGCCGGCAGCATTCGCCGAAGCGGTGGTCAGCAATTTGTTGATTTGTCTTACATGACGCGACAGTTGCTTGCTCATGATTGCAGTCTATTACACAGGCGACACAGTCTTCTATTTGTCCAGAACGAAAATAGTCGTGGCAGGTTATGAATGCGCAGCAAGAGTTCAATCTTTGGCTTATTCTGGTACACACTGTGCTCTTGCGGTTTTTCAATCGGATTCGGTCTGTGTCTCACCACTCCAGCGGCGCGATTGAAACTAGCTTTTGCCAAAAGCTTTACCACACCGCAAAAGCTTTTAAAAAACAGCGGTCTCTAAAACATCGGCGTATAGCAGATAACTAAGTACATCTGGAATTTTGAATGTCCAACTATACGATTTCTTATATATATGTATATAACATTGTAAGTTTTTCACAATTAAGCATATTTTCTTATACTTATGTATTTGTTTTTAATAATACTTGCTGACATATAGTGCTCAGCGAAATAACAACGTTGCACAGCACTTAATACATTTCCGGGCGAATGGCATTCCACAGCAGCCCGCTAATATTCAAAATTAAAAAAAAAGGCTGGCCACACGCTTGTAATAATCTGACGACAAATTCCACAAATGGAACTTTTGTTGAAATCAGATATCATTAGAAAAATAATTAGAAGTGTTTCCCAATATTATTAATTAAACCAATATTTAGTTAAGATTTCTCGTTGGTTTTATCGAATCAAAAAGACTCTTTGATTGTATTTAATTAGCGTTTAATATATATTATTTTTCGTTCAGTTATAGTTGAAAACCTAATAGATAAAAGCGCCTTGGACTAACAGTTAAAATAACAAATTACGTACATAATCGTAATACTTATACATAAAGAGAACTTATGTGAAATCTATACAACAAAGGTTTTTACTATTTACATGCTTTACCCATATATCATAGACAATATCTATTGAAGAGTTTTACCATGTTATATTATCTGATTTCCATGCATGTCGGATTTAGTTTTATATTTATTATGACTAGTTTATGCGTTATGGTCTGTTACTAAACTTGACTTTGTTTCGGCACAATCTGGGGTTTCTTTTTTTTTGCTCAAAATATGTAAAGGTATAGATATATAGTAGAAATGTTCGTGATAGTTTAATGGGAACAGTTCGGTCTTTAACATTGGACGGAACCTAAACAATAAATGATATATATTGTATATATAGTATGAAATTTCATTCTGTTGCCTAGACAAATCTGACTAGAGGCTAAACTTAATTGTGCAGCATTTTATAATAAGTTCTCCTGTTCCGATTTTGTTTTTAAATATATATATATGTATAAAAAGTTGCATATAATGCACAATTTAGCGTTGATTGCGATTTCGAGTACTTTCAGATGTTATTGTTAGCTTAAAGAGTACTTTCGAGTATAATTCGAGTACTTTTATATGTTTCCTCTAGCTTAAAGAGTACTTTCGAGTATAATTCGAGTACTTTCATGTTTCCTCTAACTTAAGGACTTTCGAGTACTTTCAGATGCTGCTTTTAGCTTAGAGTACTTTCGAGTACTTTCAGATGTTGCATTTAGCCTAAAGAGTACTTTAGAGTATAATTCGGGCAGCTACTTAAAATGATGTTCTACGCAACTACAAGCTAATATATATATTAACTAGTTTAGCCATTTTTTGGCTTAGTTTTTTTTTTTTTTTTTTGGTTTTATCAGCTCTATCTCGTCGGCAACGACATGTTCAGGCAGAGCTCATGATCGCGCAAATCGCCCCAGCCGCCGTTGCCCTTGCGCAGCTTGGACTTCTTGATCAGGCTGGGCACCGTCATCATCAGAGAGCGCGGGAACAACTGATGCGAGTTGCGTGCAATGCGCAGCACATGCTGCACCTTGGAGATTACCTGATTGGACTCGCAGTTCTTGTTCTTGTGATGGACGCCGCTACAAAAGGATTGCATGAGCTCACATAAATCCTTATGAGGTTCAGGTACTCACCACTCGCCGATGTGGAAGACGCGCGGTCCCTTGACAATCATCGCGTGCAGCTTCCGCTGCAGGCACTGCTGGGACACGTGCTGCAGGGACCAATCCCAGTTGTAGTCGTCGTAGGTGCAAAAGTGTCGGGCGCAGCGCCGGATGCTCGTCCAGGTGGTGCGATTGAAGGCGAAGCCCATGTTGTGCTTGCTGCTAATCCAGGGCATTGACTCTACCTGGGAGGGCAAACAAAAACGCACATCAGTAATATTTACATCAGTTAAATTTGAAAGGGGGAAACAGCGAACAGTGGGACAAAATGGTTTGTAAGCATGCAAATTTTATAAAGTCATAAAACGAGCCAAGATAATCTAAAATATTACAAAATTTATCAAGATGAAGTTAAAAGTTTTCGATTTGTTGAGTTAAGGAAATAATTATTTTTGTTAGGCAACATGTCCTGCTAAATAGGCCCAATACACTGTACATCAGAGAGCAAAATAGCGCAGCGTTGCCAGACTTTAATGCGAGATGCATGGTGCATGTGACCCCTAATGAATGTAAGCAGTTAAATTTGCTTACAATTTAATTAGGTGAATTTGTGACGCAAAGAGTTCTTCTAGGCCAACTACACCGTACATCAGAGCGCGTACATTGCGTATACGTGTTAAACGCAGCGCATGTACACCTTGCTGTACAGTGCATTAAGCCTCTTATGAATTCTCATTTAAATTCGTGATTAAAAGTTTTAACGCTTTTTTTCTACCTTGCGATAGTCTTGGACGATGCTGTGCCTATCGAGCTTAACGGTACGTACGCGGGCGCGCAGCTGTGTGTTGCATGCGTTCGTGTGAGGGACGGGTGAAGACGATTGTAACGGTTTATCGGCATGCCAAAAGAGAGACAAAGAGAGAGAGAAAGACGCGTGCACACACACACACACACACAACATAAAGAGAAACAACAAGAACAGTAACGGTAAGTAAACAAAATAAAGCAACAACAACAACAATTACATGCGATACGCCAAAGCAGTTGGTTAGGGTATACGGGCGAGTAGCATGCCAACAAGTGTCATTTTGGGACACACTACAAAAGCAAATGAAAAAATTGAAAATAAAAAAAAACTGTGCTCTACTACGGCAATGATCGGAGGTGCTAGATTTTCTTTTATAAAATATGAAAGATATTTTTGTTGTATTTGTTATTTAAGTCGAGGGTGCGCTACCTTCTGATAGACGGAATACAATGACGGCAGGACATGATAGTTCCATGTTTGTGCACCATTTTTATTATTATTATTATTGTTATTGTAATTGCTATTGACATCATTTGTGTTGGATGCGGCGGTGACAGTGTTCATGTGGCTAGTTCTTTTATTGTTCATATTGTTTTTAATATTATTATTGTTGTTGTTATTTTTGTCGGCGTTAACGGTGTCGCCCACATAGACTTTGGCATTCTTTAATGAAGTGCTGGATGAGGAGGCAGGCAAGCTTCTACCGTTATTATTATTGTTATTACTGTAATTATTCTTCCTATTTGATCCTAATAGACTGTTTGACGAGATCAGCGAGGAAGCATACGATTTTTTGTTAGTCTGCACGAAGTAGAGAAGAACGCAGAAAGATATATGATTTTAGATACAAAAATGAACTGCAAATGCGCGAGTTGATGTGTGGAAAGATAAGAGATAAAAGCAAATAGTTAAATGGCATAACATACATATGTACAACATACATATTTATGGGCGTTACAGACAGATGTAAATATGTATGAACAGAGCTATGTATGTATGTATGTATGCATGTACGAGTATGTATGCAACTGTAAGATGTGTAAGTACGGTAAAAGCTCTATCGCATACTACCAATTGGAATTCGTCTAGTGTTTACCTGATGTAGCATCTCAAAAGTAATAACAGTCCCGTTTATTAGCCCACTGCCGTTTTAGCACAAGATAATCTATACTATTTCCAATTGAAACATGTTAAAGTAAAACTGATTTAGCTTATTGAACATCTCAGAACAGGTATAACAGCCCTGTTTATTGGCCAATTTGGTCGTTTTTAGCACTGTAGAAGCTGCACTATTTCCAATTGGAACGGTTAACGGTTAAACTTAAACGGAATTAGCTATTGAGAATCTCAATAGCAAATAATAACATCCCTGTTAATTGGCAACTTTGTCGCTTTCAGCACTGGTTTTAGTACTTTTTCGAAGCGGCAGTTGACAGCACTGAGATTAACGGACATTTCTATTCGTATAGCTTTGTTTTTCCAATTCTGTTTAAATTCTTCATTAACTATTATTGTTTAAAATACTGGACTTGTTTATAATTTGGCAGCATAAAATCTTTCAACAAACGCTTATATAAAATTTGATTAGATTCAAATAAAATTTTGAAATACTGAAATACACACTATAAAAATACAATTATGTTTATATGTTTTCCTTAGCGAGCTTTCACTGTAACCGAGTCAAGAACATGATCTATGTACTAAAAAGCCCTAGTGCTGATATGATGTACATTATACGTTCATGTTTAGGTAGGATGTGTTCGTTAATAACAATTAAATTGGCATAAGCGATTGACATTTGCTTTTGGTTAAAAAGACATTAATTAAATATGCTGTATTTGAAGCAGTTTTTTTCTCTTTTTGGACGACTAGGCGATTAACGAATATCTCAGCCAAGCAGTTGAGGATCTTACCTTGCTGTGGTACGTATAATAGTTGAATGTCTTTAGATAGGTGCCCAGCGAGAGGATGTTGCACTGCGGACACAGATCCTTGGTTCGCTGCTGCATCATGCCCAGCAGATAGAGAAAATCCTCGGCGACATAATGATCCTCCTCCAGGAACAAAACGAGACCTGCCAAAAGTACAAATATTAATGTTGTTTTCTTTCCAGGCGTGGCCTTGACTAACCCGTATGAAACCGAGTGACCTCCAGCTCGTTGAAGACGCGGTTCGATTTCCACCACCAATGATGCTTGGTCTGCGTGAACTTGGCCTCGCGATAATGGCCATAGAGATCCGGATACAATGCATTGTTGCAGTTGCTAATGAGAGCCCTAAAAGGATAATATATATTAATATAGATAAGACCTCTTGCTTAAATGCACTCACTGCTCCTTCTTGATGTTCCTGGGACAGTCGTTGGGATCGACGCCGGGATATTCGTGCGGATGCGTTTGCATAGAGTACGGATAGAATATCTGCAGCACCTTGCAGAAGTCGATCTGCTGCACCAGATCGTTGATGTCATCGTCGTAAAAATCGTGCGAGAACACCACCAAAGACTTGGAAATGTCGCGGGCCTGCGCCAGGCTGACAATCAGATGGCGCAGATAATTGATGCGCGTGTGCACCTGCGAGTAGGAAATGTTTCTAAAGCCAAGGAAACAAACAAAACACAAGTTCACCCACCTGCACGACAATTATCACAGAATCGTTTTGCAACGGCCCGAACGTGTCCTCGTTCAGCACCAACTGCAGCTCGTTGTATCTGACAATCTGACGCTTGATCTCCGAGATGTTGGGCGGCCGGTAAGCCTCAAAGTTGATTGTGGTTGCCGCCGCCGCAAAGCCAGAGTTGCTTAGCCCGGAGATGCTGCTGTTGAGTTGGAGCACTGCAGGAAAAATAGGAGCAGGAATAAATATCGAAAAAGCTGTCGATCCTCACCTGCTGCTGCCGCCGGCGCGCTGTGATTGCGCGTGTGTGGCGTCAGATATTTGTGAAGCGGAGCCGGCACCATGGACAATATGGCATCCGCCGAGTCATTGGCCAACGCATCGCTGAGCAGCGCATCTCGGCTGTCCACTGAGAAGGAAGTTAAGCAAAATTGTTTATTTAATATTGCCTTAATCATTTAACAATTTGTCTCTTACGATAGTTGAAATTGTGATACTGCAGCAGTCCGAAGATGCACAGCGCCAGGATGAAGACGCTGCGCATATAAAAATTATTGCGTTTGCGTCCCATTGCCCCCGTATTGGGCAGCGGTATCAGTACACGGCCTGCAATAAGTATTTTTAATTGTTGTGAAAAAAAAAAAAAATCAAAAAAAAAAAACCCTAAAGTGCCACGAATTACCTCTCATTTTCGACATTGTTTTGGTCCGAGTTGCTAGCAAATGCCTACTAGGCGAGCTCTTTTATAGCGCCATCTGAAAAAAGCACAATTGATAAGACATGTTGTTTATTGAGATAAACATGTACAGTGAAAGATCGCTGGAGTGAACTTCGACTTGACTTGTGATCTCGTGTAGAGGCTGCCCAAGTGGGACGTGGCCCGAAGTAACGTTAAGAAGGAGCTCCTATCGTTCCAGCTGCCTTCTAGGAGAAATAGATCGCTGAGGTGAACTTGAGGAGGATTTGCTCTACACGGAGTTGCACGACTGGGACGTAGCCCGAAGTCAATACCAAGAAGGAGCTACAATCATTCCAGCTTCCTTTTACTACTAGGAGAAATTAATTCCAATTAATTTGGGTTCCTATAGTCAGATTTCGGTTCTTCGGTGTAACTTGGGTAAGAAAAGCTCAGCTCCTCTTAATATTTAAATCAATTTTCTCTTACTTTTGTTGTGCCCAGATCCACGTATTTCCACGGACAGACTGACTGATCAGCTTGTCGTACGGATCGAGTGTATATATATATTTTGTATGCCCTGCATGTTACATACATTTTTACACAAACAATACGCCCTTTTATCTATTTTTAGTGAGCTCATTGCAGAAAAATCTTATCATTTTTAATGGAATTGAAAACTAATTATTTGAAATGTTTTATTTATCGTGTTGCGCATTTCTAAATAATTGCAATTTGCTTTTTACGGCTGCAAATGGAAACGGAAAACTGCCAACGCAATTCGCCAATTCTCAAGAGGCTTTGGATTATATAGAAGCTTGCGCAAAATGCACTCGTAAAACGTTAAATGTGAGCACAGTTCCGAGCGGGGCTTCGTTTGGAGTCTCGAGCTGGAGGCAGCACTTGGAACTCGGCCGGTGGATGGGCGAGTACCCTGAGCACAATGGAACCGTAGGGGGCGGGGGGCACCACATCGGCCTCCTAGCGACACGTAGCCATTGCGTGTGTTGTCATTAGGCCCCCGGCGGGGGATTACCCGCCCATCTGTTCGCCCGACTCGACTTGTAATGTGGGCGATCGCGCGGCCTCGCATAAATTGGCATAAAAATAGAATATATTTGGCGAGTGCGCTGTCTGACAAAAAATTATTTCATTTCTTAGCAGTTGTCAAATAGAAAAGAATCTAGTTGCCGTTAAGACGAAAAAATTTAGCTTTAGTCATATAAGTATATATAATAATATTATGTATCGACCTAAAAATCGTTTTCAAAATATTTTCTCTTTAATTTGACATGTGAGACGTTTCAAATTTTTCGCAAAATCCGCCCTTTTAAGCGAAAATGCGGGTCAACGAGGTTTTTCGTTTTGTCTTCGACTTATTTTCAACTCCACGCAGCTTTTACTGCAAATTAAGATATACTTCTAGAGGTATATATACGCATATCTATATAGTATGCTATTACATATATTTAAAATGAAAATGTGGAAAATAGCGGAAAACGATTTTTTTCATCCTATAGAATGGAACACAACATTCAATCAATCTGAACTTTTTTATACCCTGAACCCATTAAAAATGGCTATAAGGGTATATTGTTTTTGTGCGAGATCCAAATGTATGTAACAGGCAGAAGGAAGCATTTTCGACCCCATAAAGTATATATATTCTTGATCAGCATCAATAGACGAGTCGATCTAGCCATGTCCGTCTGTCTGTCTGTCCGTCCGTCCGTATGTATGAACGCAAGAATCTCAGAACCTATAAGAGCTAGAGACATTGCCCAAAAAACAGAATACCGATATCGATTCTTATCGATTGCTTGGAAACGGAGTAAGTTATCGATTATCGGAAACAAACTCGATCTGTGCAGTCACTAGGACAACCTATATCTAAAATTTCAAGTCGAGTCTTTCTATTGCGTTAGATTCTGCAGGAGCTCTTGCATTATCGTTTCAAAACGATATAATTCCGCTCGGTTTTTAGAGCGGCGAAGTTATGTCGTTCTGACACGACATTATCGCTTCTACAAAGATTTTACATTGTTTGAGCTTGTCACACAATTAAGTAATAATTAATATTCCTGCAATCGAATTTTATAATATTTTGTCGATAAGTGTGCGCCCCAAAGCCCAAATCGAAGCAGATGATAATATATATTTAATCACGCCCCTTATATCTTATCCCTATATCTAGAGACCATTAAATAAATCACAAAAGTGGCATTAAAAATGCGTTTGCTCATTAACAATGAACTCTAATTGATTTCAGCGCCTGGCACGCCCCTTTAATGTCATGGCAACATTATATGCTAGAAATGACAAAACATTCCAAGTATTTTCGGTTAATGAGAGAAGCGAATTTCCATAAATAAATAGAGCAGGGTGCAAGTGGACTTGAGGCAACTCGCCCCGGAAAAGGCCTCGCGTTTGACTTTGAATTTGAACTTTAGACATCGATTAAAGATTAAAGCAAGTGAAAGATATTTAGTTCGAAGTGACCGACTAAGAAACACTGTGTAACCAGTTTTTTTAAAGACATATATATGTTTAATAAATAAAAATAAATTTACTCGGACGACGATTTTTCGCAAATTTCCCATGAAGTACTTAAGTAGAGTTTTGAAAGTGAGTTTAAGTCCGATCGAATGGTAAACAAAAAGTTTCTTGCAAACGTTTTTCGCAATTTTGCCATACTTGCGGGTGGAATTTTCGGATACATCGTCTTAATGTGCACCTACATCACATAAGGTAACTACAGTGCAAATTTCAGCTTCCTAGCTCTTACAGTTTGGGCTGTGCGTTGATCATCAATCAGACAATAAGTCAGTCAAGCATTCAGTCAGTCAGTCGGGACAAACAGCTTCATCTAACTTACATCATAATGTAGACCAGTAAAGCCGTATCTACGTCCGCTTGTTACAAACAGACATGCAAATCAACATGCCCTATGCTGCACATATTTTTAAAGGGTATAAAGCAGGCAAAAAATACGCGATAGTGCAGGCGTACTCAAAGAAATCGGACGTTGCGCTCGAAGGCGTCGTCAAGGGGAGGACAAGTGTAAATTCAGGTGAAACAGGTATGGTATTATTTATTTATTTATTTACTGTTTGGCTGTTACGAAATCCGAGCGACATACAAAACGGCCAAAATGGTCACACAAAAGGCAAACAACAAAAACAATAACAAAAAACTGTTGTTGTTCGCATTTTCGTGCTAATTTATTGAGAATAAATGTTAAGTGTTAGGTAGATTTGGTTTACCTTTGGCTAAATTTGCAAGTGCGCAATGTTTTCGTTTCTGCCTCCGCCTCGTCTGTGCTCCGCATTGTTGGTCAATCGATTTTTCTCAGACGCCCCAAGTCCAGTTAATCTCTAACGGCAACATTTGAATTGTTGCTGCCGCCTCGTTGTTCTTGTTCTTGTTGTTGTCGTTGCGTAGTCAATTTGTAGCATTTTGCAACAGTTCGTCAATTGGTTAATTACTTAAAACGCGTTTGTTGTTGTTGTTGTTGTTGAGCTGCTGCGCGCCTTGCGGCTGAGATTCGTGCAATTTCTATACACACACATGCATACATACATGCTGGCAGCTGCGGTAACACACACACACACACACAGCACACACTCATACGGGCATATTTTCGGCGCTTATCTCATTGCTTCATCTCACTTTTGATAAGGCCAATGCGTTTTATACAAATTATCTATTCACTTTTCATATATTATCACATCAGTTTTCGCTTTCTTTTGGAATATGGCAACAAATTTCACCGATGTTCGACCGCTGCTCGCAAATGTATCTTACGGTGCGCTCCCACAACTGAAAGTCAAAACGAAACAGCTGGCCTGTCTAGAGAATGGTACGCTGCTCATCGCAAATAGAGTGACCATATTTGTGGTGAATTCATTTGCTATCGGTTTCTATCGAGTACACTTCTGTTAACGTGCTGTTAAGTTCGGCTAAAATTTGAGATGTAAATAAATAATATACATTTTTATCAAATGTTGTTAACAAAACAAAAAAATGGTTCCATTTTGATATAGTTATGCGCATTTGAAGTCGTGCAAGTTTACGGGCAAACACAAACTATTTGATTGCTTAGAGCCCAATTCGAATTGTAGCTTGTAGTAATAAGTTGACTGTCAAGCTGTCAAAGTGATTGTATTTTTGAAATTTTCTCTCATCAGTTTGTCAAATTGTTAAGCCTTTTCTAGTTTTAATTGAATTTAATTAGGTAATTTGTGGAAATTTCGAGTGAGAACAGTTATAGACGGTGGTGATGATAATTTTAATCGCGCGCAAATAATATGCCACCCTGGACATATATCGCATGCAGTATCGGCCTATCGGTGCGACAAATCGATAGACACATCAGTTCACTTGGATTTGGAATTGCAGCCTTGGTGTCTGTCGCTTTGCACCAACATTTTTTTATTCCAAAAATATACGTACGCGCGTGAATCATACGCGACGTCTCGACTCACGACACGCACAGTAAAAATCGAGTGTACATAGTATATATTATATCTATATATATATATATACAAAATATTCATTTATTGAATTTTTGTATTACACGTATACGAGAATTTATTTAATAGCGCCTTGACGTCGTTGCAGTAATTGCCGCCCCGCACCGCGTCCCTCGCCCCCGCGCCGACTGAGTGTGTTACTAAAAAATTGTATTAATAGTTGTGTTCCATCTGTGTTCAGTTGAAAATGTTTAGTTTTTTGAAGCGCGAGACTAAAAACCAAGAGGTTGTCGAGAACGTCATCGGCGAGCTGAAAAAGATTTATCGCAGCAAACTGTTGCCCCTTGAGGAGCACTATCAGTTCCATGACTTTCACTCGCCCAAACTGGAGGATCCGGATTTCGATGCCAAGCCCATGATACTGCTGGTGGGCCAGTATTCGACAGGCAAGACGACCTTCATACGCTACCTGCTGGAGCGAGATTTTCCCGGCATACGCATCGGGCCGGAGCCCACGACAGATCGCTTCATTGCCGTCATGTATGATGACAAGGAGGGCGTGATACCCGGCAATGCGCTGGTCGTGGATCCCAAGAAACAGTTCCGGCCGCTGTCCAAGTATGGCAACGCATTTCTGAATCGATTCCAATGCTCGACTGTGGCATCGCCCGTGCTGAACGCCATTTCGATTGTGGACACGCCCGGCATCCTCTCCGGCGAGAAGCAGCGCATTGATCGCGGCTACGATTTCACGGGCGTGCTGGAATGGTTTGCGGAACGCGTGGATCGCATCATTCTGCTGTTCGATGCACACAAGCTGGACATATCCGATGAGTTCCGGCGTTCAATTGAGGCGCTTAAGGGCCACGACGACAAGATACGCATCATACTGAACAAGGCCGATATGATCGATCATCAGCAGCTGATGCGGGTCTATGGCGCGCTGATGTGGTCGCTGGGCAAGGTGCTGCAGACGCCGGAAGTGGCGCGCGTCTATATTGGCAGTTTCTGGGATCAGCCGCTGCGCTTCGATGCTAATCGCCGGCTCTTCGAGGATGAGGAGCAGGATCTGTTCCGGGATCTACAATCGCTGCCACGCAATGCCGCTCTGCGCAAGCTGAACGATCTGATCAAGCGGGCGCGCCTGGCCAAGGTGCATGCGTTTATCATTGCCGAGCTGCGCAAGGATATGCCCTCTGTGTTTGGAAAGGATAGCAAAAAGAAGGATCTGATCAAGAATCTTGGCCAGGTGTACGATCGCATTCAGCGCGAGCACTCCATATCGCCGGGCGATTTCCCAGATATTAAAAAAATGCAGGAGGTGCTGCAGCATCAGGACTTTACCAAGTTCCATTCGCTGAAGCCGCATCTGCTCGACATTGTGGACAACATGTTGGCCAAGGACATTGCGCGTCTCATGGAAATGATACCGCAAGAGGAGATGACCCTCGTCCAAGACCCAATCGTCAAGGGTAAGTCATCCCAGCCCATCCAATAATCTTAACCCAATTCTTGTGGTTCCAAGTGAAATTCCTTGCTCGGCTTATCGAAACCTGCCTCGCACCTGGTCACCCTGTCGCTTGTCCACAATTAATCGAGCACAATTAATCGATAAACACTTTCGATACGAACCTTTTTTTTCAGCACTTTGCACTTTGCTCTGTGTATCCGTTTCTAATTTAAGCTTTTCGCGACTTGAAAAAAAAAAACATTATAAACGCCCAGATTCATTTTTTTTGTCCGCTTCTCAGCATAGGTCACATCATGCGTGCATTTATCGCTTATCGATAAATACGAGAAAGCATACCAAGCCTGAGTTTTTCCTTGCTACGATATTGAATTATTGACGTATAAACGTTGGTATATTTTTTTTTTACTTTGGCTATTGCCTGAATTTCTTTAGTTGAGCTTTTTCAGTCTGCGCGCGCGCAAATGCTGCAAATAAAATAAAATCAAAAACAAACCAAGTTGACCCAGTTAGTAAATAGTCATGCCAAATTGTGGAAAACAAGTTTGTTGCTAGCACACACACACATACTCACACCGAGATAGATCACTGAGTGTATCTAATGGATGCAGCAATTACAATTTAACTGCTTAGCGGCGCATGCAGGTACAAATGAAAGCTAAAGGAGCTGTATTTGGGCATTTCCACTCACATAGATAGCTATACATAAGCTGATTGACTGATTGACTGAATGACTGAGTTACTGATTGACGATGCACTGATTGAAAAAAAGCTACATTAGCTGTACTTGGGCATTAACTCATAAGTTCAAATTCTAATTCAATGACTGACTGATTGATTGACTGAGTTACTGATTGACGCACAGATTGTACCGTAAAGCGGTGAACCCTAAATTTCTTACAAGGTTTTGGGAAAAACCTGGTGTAAGTTTGGAAGATGCAAATTCATTTAGAGCTTCCTTTAAACATGATGAAATTTCTAACAGAGACTTGGGAAAAGTCTGGTATAAGTTTAGAAAAGGAGCTTTCTTTAAGACTAATAATATCCATAATCCATTACAATATCCATTATATAATTATTATTATCAATAATACCCTCAGTTCTGAGGTCGTTTGAGCAAAAGTTCGTGTTAAATTTAATGAATAATACTTCTCCCGGGCTAAGCCGGGTATTGCCCGTTGTGCCTGAAATATTTAATTGAACAAATCGTCTTCCAGCTTCCTCTTTTCGCACTTATGTAATGTGCTGGCCGCATATATATTATATATATACGTGTAGCACAGATATTCTATCTCTCTATATAGTATTTGCTACGTAAACAGTGCGATAAGAAGCCCTCGCTGATAACAGGTTGCCCGCGAGCACACACATCGTGCTCCATGTGCCAGACGCTAGACGCACTTTTTATTATTTTTTTGGCAAAGATTATGTGTGCAACCCGGCGGAGTTCGAGTAAATAGTCGTAGGACGTGCCGGCGTTAGGGTAACGGTAACATATTTCTCTCATATCTAGCTCAAATATTGTAAATGCTTGATAAGCTACAAGTTTTGTACTTGTCAAGGGGCGGACAAATACTACGCCCGGGGCGTGGCCCCACGACTATGTATGCGGGTTAATTATTTGCTTATTATCGAACTTGGTCGCCGTCATCGTGTCCGAGTGATAACAAGTATCGAACCGCATTGTTCGGCATGATGTAAGCAGAGAAAAAAAACTGAAAAGAAAAACGTCAAAGTCATGACTCACGTTTAAGGCGAAACGGGGAATGGCAGCCCAGAGGGCAGCCCCTCGGTACAGTTAGACAATATATATATATATATATATATATATATATAGTATAGTATAGTAAATATATGTATTTTACAGTCCAGCGACCAGCATAAAGCTGCGCTGGCCATAGACGCATCCAGATTCAGGCCAGCCGACCATGACGACGAGCACGCATTGACCAAACAATCTAAACAGTTTAATTCGATAGAAAAAGTTAGCAGTAATAATGCTAGACTTCGAGATACCCAGCACTGACAAAAAACTACATGTTTATATATCAAAGTAGCTTAAAAAAAAGGCTAAGCTAAAACGAGAATTTCAATAATAATAAAGAAAATTATCAAGAATTTTATACTCAAATGATTGCAACACAATTTTCTTAATTTGAGATCGTAACTCTTATTTAAAGAACTTTTTTTTATGAGGCTTGAATACACTGCTTGAACAAAGAAATGTTTAACTTTCATTCGCTTTTGGCTTTTGGCTTATGTTTAGCAACAAAATCCTTGTTAAAATTGCTTTTTACTGAATTCAAGACTTATTTAATTGATTTGTAAAATTTAATGTTAAAATAAAAACAATTTTTACTTAATTTAAGTCTTCGAAAATTGATTTACTGAATTCAAGACTTTGTTTCATTATTTGTAAAATTTAGTTTTAAAACAAGAAAGATTTTCACTTAATTAAAGTCTTCAAATTATTAAGTGTATTTTGAATTTTAGGAAAAAAGCGTCATGAAACATTGTTTTTACTTTTTACTGAATTCGAGATTTATTTTTCTTGATTTGAAAAATTCAGTTTTGAAATTAGAATGATTTTAGTCTTCGAACATTTAATGTATTTTGACTTTTAAGAATAAAACGTAGTGAATTCTATTCGTGTTAAAATGTAGGCGTAATTTTTTTGCTCAGTGTACTCGAGAGCCCTCTTAAAGCAGCTTCCGCTTGGCTTGCGAGGCATTAATAATTGCATTGGCTCCATAAATACTCTACAGATGTGTTATGTACATGAAAGCGATATATAATTGTCGCTTAAATTATAATCTCTGACGTTCTCTTTGTGTGACCCATTGTTAGTTATTTGTTCGACTTTGGTTGAGTTTGAGGTTGAGATCAAGGTTCCACTTACAAGTCCGACGCTTACCTTAGCACCTGTTCATTTTCCAGCCAATAAATTGTTTATTGCCGCAGCTCTTATTAAATATGTAGGCCAAGTCAACTGACTGTTTTTGTTTGTTGTGGCTATCTCGGCTTGTCGCGTTGCCAGGCTCCTCCATGAGAATAGATATGAAACTAAGCCTATTTCTAGATAAAAATCAATGCTATGTGCGAACCTCAAGAACTCTTAAATGAAAACATAGACAGGAAAAATAAACTGCAGTCATTTTCAAGCTGTCGCAGATTTAATACACTAATAGCTTGATTACACTATGCTCAACAAATTTTCACATTTTGCGGTTCTGTTGTCCGTTGTCGTTAAAATGTGAGTGGCAAATATATCTTACATATTTAATATATACTCCCAGCTGCCTAGCTAAAACGCTTTTGTAGTTTAATTTCAATTGATTCGATGCGGAAGAAAAAGATTAGATATTGTATAAAATAGTAGTCATCTTAATGACAAACTGATTATACCCTATGGCAAGGTATGCATATTCAACTAATCTGTCCCATGCTAGAGGCGTTGCCCGCGCCTGTTTTTAGCGCTGTTCTAATTTTCAGCAACAAAGAACTCGCCCTGTTATCAGTTCAGAGCTTCAAAGCGAAACATATGAGCGAAGAGTAAATAGAATATTATTAAGTAATATTTATGCCACATGACGGCTTTTTTTCTGTCGTTTCATGACAACGTTTCAAAGGCAAATAAAGAAGAAGCAAATGCTTAAAAGAATCAGTGTGCCCAGTTATGCTTATGAAGATTATATATAGTCTTTAATTGAATATACAAAAGATCAAATATATATACAAAGAAAGAACTTGTGAGATTAAAAATAATTATTACCTAATAAGTGAATCACGTTGGGTAAATAAAAACGCGGAAGATGACATAAAATATTCTATAAAATATGTATAGCCGAAAGCTGTATGCTCTATCAGAGCATTTTATTCATTATAAGGGCTGGCTGTTTGATCTGATTTAGTATATATATATAGATCCACTATAAGTATGACAGCAAAGAAAGTGGGTCTCTAGTTTTCAGTTTTTATTTCGGAAGAATGCGAGAGGTATCTAGTTTTCTTTGTTTGGAAGAATAGGGGAGGTTTCTGGATTTTCATTTTTTGGGAGAATGGTGGAGCTATTTAAAGATTGAAAAGTTCTGTGTATTATTTAGCCTTAATATGATAATAATTTAGTGTAAGAATATTTGAAAATCTCCAAATTATGGAGAGATATATATAATTTCATATAGATCAATATAAATTATTTATTATATGGATCGATATTATGGAAATAGAAGCAGACCGATATCCTGCTCAGAAATAACATAAAAGGGCAGCAGAAAATCTCAAAAAAATTGACATTTGCTAATTTTTAGTAGTTAATTTGACAAGTTATCAAACATATTCATTTATCTAAAAGAATATACTTATGTATGTGTATTTAGGTGACAACTTATTCAAGCTAGATAAGTGAGTAGATAATATAAGTTATAATAGCATTTGCCTTGCCAGTCTCAGGCATAAATATATTCAAATTGAACAAACGCAGTCTCCGAGGCACAAGTCAAGCTCAATTCATGCGCTAAGCTCTTGGGAAAGGCAGCTCTTAAGACGAGCCAAGCCCAATTGCAACCCATTCTAATTCCAATTCGCATTCAAATTCCAATTGGAATTGCAATGCCTCTCGCCGGGCAACCTGATTCCGCCGCGTATCAATTTGTGGGCCGCACGGCGCCGACATGCCGCGTGTGCCATTAAGTGGCCCCATCCTGAAATGGAAATTGAAATAGATATAGAAATTGAGAGCCAAGTCTCGGGCGACTGGCATTTGCCATTTGGCATGGACTTGCACTAAGCGCAGGAAGAAAGCATTTATTTGATGATCTCCAGTCTCTTAAATGATTACACATTTGCCTCTTGCCCACTTGACTGGCGCATTTTGCCAGGCCTTGCCAAAGTATTATCTTTTTATTATTTATTTTAAATAGTTTTATTTTAAATTTCGCCCAAAAATTCCAGCCCAATTTGCAAGCGATCGCAACTGATGTCATCCGATCACTTTTCTCGTATGCGTCATGCCTGGCCGCAAAGTCTTCCCTGGTTCGGGCAATCAAATTACGTCGATTTTGCAGTCGGGCGTGACCGACTGTGGGTATACCCTGTATCAAACGCCAAGCTGCCTTTACAAACATACCTATGTCTCAAAATCGATATTTATCGATAGTATGAAATTGCAAGGACCTATTGAAATTGTATTTACCTAATATCCATTGCCATTGCTGCCGTGACTTTACTTTTCTAACCGGCTATGCTTCTTCTTTCCGTGGCCAAGAAAAAATTCCATGATATGATATCGATTTTCATCGAAAAATCGAAAGGGCATATCGATCATATCGACATATCGGTATCGAAAATTATATAAAGATTGGAATACCATTCATATCGTTTTCTTTAAATATCAAGTACATTTAAATTTTGATATATATTTTATATTAAGTAAATTGATCTTAAAGTTGACAGATTAAAAAAGTTTCACTCTCCCAAAGTTATATTTTACAAGATTTAGGGCTGTAACCGAAATATTCATTTTTTTATTTGGAAATTACGAGACTTAAAAAATGTCATGTTCATCTTGGTCTATTTAGGCACAGTTTGTACAGGTTTTAAGCACTGCAACAAACTAGTTGATATAGTCGTACACTCCTATCTTGAAGAGTATAAAGAAACTTCACTTATGCAGGCAACAAGTGAATGAACTTGCCGTTTAAAATTATCCCAGAGCAGGAGGAAGAGTGAGTTGCAGGGGGTATTCACTGCCAAAAGATACCCCCCAAAAGAATGTGCTGATAGTGCGCCGATGTGAATAACAAGCAGAGAACAGAGAGCTGAGCAGAGCGGAAAATCAAAGTCAAGAACGCGTGAAATGTTGATTTGTGTCGAATGTGGCTCGAGTGTGTGCATGTATTTTCGACTTTGTTTTGTTTTTCCTCCTTTTATTGTTGATTGTGTTGCTGTCTGTCGATTTTCCGATTTATTTTTGAGAATGTATTGGTGCATTTCCGTTTTATTTTTTTGTGTTTAAAATAAGCTATTTTCTCTGGAGATGCCGAGTGCAGGGTGCCTCAAGAGGTCATTGATAGCCAAAGTTTTAATAAAAGTAATTGATCTATAGGCGGATAAATTGGGCTACCTCTTATGCTTCGATATGGGTGCTATACATTTGCTCAAAATTGTTATCTCATTTGTTAGCGTGTAGAAAATTTAAACTTTAAAGTTGAAAAACGTCGATTTTGGAGAAAATCGATATTTTCGATTGTTTTTAAGTATCGATAGTATCGTATAGATAGTATCAATAAGTAAATAATTGGAAGACATTGTTTTTATTAACTAATTTATTATTTTCCCTAAAAATAATTCACATTTTCAATACAATTCATGTGAGATCATGCTAAGATTAAAATTTGTTAAAGTTTTTGCGATCTGAAATTATTTGACCAGCTTTGCTAAATGTTCTCTTTGATACATTCGTTTGGTTTCTCAAAATATTGCCTTAAAACTGTGCAAGAAAAGGCCAAAATAAAAGGTATTTCATTGAAATTTATTTTACTTGTCGCTTTCTTGGGCTCAAAAAGTTTTAGAGCTGGCAATACATCGATGCTTCTAAAAAACTCATCGATAGTTCTTAAAAAACAATATACATTCCAACTCTAGTAATATACATTCCAAGCCAAGCAAATCAAGTTGAGATATTTTTAAATGTATTCTCTAACTGATCAAGAACTGGCAAGAGTATCACAAGACTTGAATGTGGAATTGAAGCGTTGAAGCGTTGCGAATCTAAAACTCCAATTCGATCAATTCTTTATTTGCAGATCTAGTTTTTTCCAGAGTGTTCGTGTTTGTAAGGGTATTTAAACTTCGGCACACGCCTGAACTCTGTTCTGTATTGTTCTATAGAGCTCACAGCAAATTGTCACAGATTGTTGCTTAAAGCAAAAGCATCATTTCCACACGTTCCCGGACAAGTTTTTAGTTTTTTGCTTTATCTCCAGTTTTATCAAGCCTAAACGTACATACATATATACGTACTCTTATTAGACACACCTGTGCAATATCACGAATGTTTAGCAATATGTCGCTAAAAAGTGAGCTGCTCTTCTTCAGTTGGCCAATTCTTTTTAGTTTTTTGACAATGGCACACTAATTTTTTTTATGTGTTTTTCTGTACATTTCCAAATGTGCGTCAAAAGATGGTTTGAATGCTTTGTCACGCTCTCGCACTAGAATCTCTCTCTCTCTCTCTCTCTCTCTCTCTCGTTCGCCTTTGCTAATTTCTTTTTTGTATCGCAGAAGAGGAGCAGGCGGAGGCGCAGGCGGAGTTCGTTGTGTCCGAGGAGGAGGAGCCGCAGGTTCTGACCCCCGGCACACAGAGCGCTCAGTTTGCGGAGCGCTTCGATCGCTGGCTGCAGAACCTGCGCCAGCAACAGCTCCGGCTGTTCACCAGCTGCACTAGTAGGGTAGGCAATGTCGCCAATGACCACACTGAAATCGAACCCGTGACCGAAACAGACAACAGCCAAATTGTTACAACGCCAACCGCCGCGTCTCCAATCCAACCCGATCCCAAACTCGATTCCCCGCCAGAGCCGGCCATTGATGTAAGCAAGCACATAACTATTTCTCGAACTCGCCATTGCAAAAAATATAAATTGAATCCAAGTGGCAGGCAACTATTAAAAACTCCAAAGGAACTGTTTGCTTCGGCTGGCCGAAGATACAATGCCCTGTAAGAAGTGGAACCTAAATGTGATTATATGGCTTTTTAGTCGATCCTTCAGTTATTATATTATATAGCAGTCCGTCTCAATACGTGTTTTACTATGTAAGAAGGGATTAGTGAAGCTTTTGAGTGCTAAGCTTGAGCGGAATATCTAGATAAACTTATGATTTTGAAAGCCTCCCTATTTGTGGAGGTCTATAATAAAGTATAGTCCGTTGTTGATTAAGTTTGGATTAAGATATTTTGATAAAGCAAAAATGTTGTGCATAGAGGAATTAAACTTTCGGCTCACCATTCCGATCCGGCTGATTTTGGAATATGCAACAGAAGAGCTGTCGTAAAGACCGAAAGACTCCGAATATAAATATGTCATGAAAATCAACTGCTCTGCAAAACAGTTCCAGTAGCCACACGCAGCGGCAAGCTGCACTCGATCTCCGGAGCACTCGTTTGCCTCGTTTAGTATGCGCCTGCACTTGAAGCAGGCGCTGCCCAAAGTACGTACTTAAGTCGGTCGCCAGACAGACGGAGCTGGTCACGATGGGGCGGCGACAACGTCAATTGGAGCCTAAACGAGCTGAAGGTTTTTAATTGCGCAAAATTGAATGTGTGTGTTCGTGCACCGAGAAGCCACCTAGATTAGATGCTTAATTAAAATATATGCACGCGTTTGTGTTGCTTGACCCGAGACACAGAACCGTAATCGATTCGAACGGTAACTGAACTGATTGCATTTGTAATTTCTTGCAGGAGGCGCCTTCGAGGGCGTCATCGACGACAATGTCTCGCCGTTCGGTTACATGAAGGGCGAGGGAATCGATGCCGGCTGCGGCGAGCACGAATGGATATGCAACAAGGATAAGCCGCGCACAGATGCCATCTTCAACGGGCTGGGACCGGTAGATGGCAAAATCTCCGGCTCAAGTGAGTACTGGCAAATATATATTCTGAAAGTGTAATAATTTACCCAACTATTCGTAATTGCAGCTGCCAAGCAGGAGCTCATCAAATCAAAACTGCCCAACTCTGTGCTTAGCAAAATCTGGAAATTGTCCGACATTGATTGCGATGGTTTCCTCGACATTGATGAATTTGCGCTGGCCTTGCACCTAATCAATGTCAAGCTGGACGGCTGTGAGCTGCCCAATGCGCTGCCGGAGCACTTGGTGCCGCCGTCGAAGCGTTTCGCCTAATCCTCGGGAATTCATACAGAATATCGCACACCCTTCCCTATACAAAAGACGGAATTCTGTCGGCAAATCCTATGCTGCACTCGTGTTTTCATGTTTTGTTTCGTTTCGCAGAAATTGTCTTTTTATATGTACTTTATTTGTCTATAAAATTGCTAAACTGGGTATTTTAACATCCAGCAAAGCATTGTGGCATAAAACTTTAAAAATATCAGAGAAAAAAATCAAGCATGCATAAATTCATAGAATTTACACAAGAAATATTTTTGGATAACAATCAATTTTAAATTGTACAGCGAGCAGGAATTAATAATATAAAAAACTAGCTAGTGGAATTATACAAAATGAAAAGAATTCAGTCCGCCTAAAAAAAACCGACGTCAAATGTTGATTTAAGAGAAAAGTACATAATAATCACTTGTTCAATGATATAATATAATAATGATAATGAAAAAGGCACTAAATAAAAACGTATACAATATGTAGGCTTAAATATGTTTATGCCCTTTAAAGAAGTTTGCCTAAAACTGAACCACTTTTGATATACATATTTTATATATAGATATATACAAACATACACATATTGAAGTTGGTCGAAAGTGAAATATTTATTTGCAATCATGTTTAATTTATCCATGCAATGAGAATTGTGCAATTGTTGGTTTAGTAGTGCAATTAAATACCTTTGCGTCTTATTTAGTGAATTCGTGAATAATAATTAATGTGAAATGAAAATTACTTTAAAAAGTATGTAAATTACGAATAAAATGAATAATTTTGAAAATTACCGGTTAACGTGCACAATATCTGGTCACATTGCGTTGAGTAAAACGCCAAGTTGACATTCTGTTATATCGATAACGCCATCGATAGTCGATAACTAGCTCTGGCATACTTGTTTGGCGTTAGTTTGATATTCATTACATTTAATCACCGGCTTTTCCTGCTTTTAATTGTTGATTTAAAATGGCCAGCTACGAGGAAGTAAAAGATGTGCCCAATCAACCATCAACATATTTAGTTGATGTGCGCAACAAGACCGAGCTAGCGGAGACGGGCGTATTGCCCGCTAGCATTAACATTCCCCGTGAGTAGTTAAGATATGTACATGTAGATTAATTAAACCAACAAAACTAATTACATGAGTCATGCTTGATTTGTACACCAGTGCCCGACCTAGAAAAGGCCTTTAACCTGCCGGACAAGGATTTCGAAAAGACCTACGGTCGCGCCAAGCCCCCAATTGACGCAGTGCTGATATTCTCCTGTAAAGCCGGCGGCAGAGCTGCGCGTGCCGCCAATCTGGCCAAGACCCTGGGCTTTGTCAAGTAAGAATTCAAGCAGTGTTGCTAAGGTGCTAAAGTCCAAAATGACAGTCGGCAACACTGGCGCGTACATGTATTATGTATATTTATTAAAACAACATTTATTACAGCGCTAAGGCCTATGCCGGCTCGTGGACCGAATGGGAGCAAAAGCAGGCCCAATAAATTAGGCTAAAACAAGAAATAATTCTAATAAAAATCATTTGTGAAATTTGTTACCCTATATGCCAACATTTAAGCCTAAACTTTAACCTCCTGGAGCTCGCCCCAGCTGCGTCCTATTTTCAGCTTCACGCGCAGCGGCACATTTAGTTTGACGCAGTTTTCCATCGTGAGACTTAGGACCTTGGCCACCTTTTTCGCCTTGTCCGCGGGCACCTCGAAGATGAGCTCATCATGCAGATGCAACACCAGGTTGACGGCATTTTCGGCTAAGCCCAGCTTCTCGCGATAACGCGCGATGTTCTTCTCCATGCGCAGAATGGCGCTCTTGGCTATGTCGGCGGCGGAGCCTTGTATGGTCGAGTTGATGGCCTGGCGCTCGGCTTGATCTGCAAGAGATGAAGGTTTAGCAAAGGGTTGGCTATGGGAAGCTTTAACTGGACGAACTCTTGAGCTGCGGCTCGCCGCTGTTGATGTGATCCAGATAGCGTCTCCGCCCGGTTATGGTCTCCACGTAACCATTGTTGCGTGCAAACTTGACCACCTTCGAGGCGTAAGCTCTGCAAATATAAAGAGTGTATAAGATTAACTTCGTTTTGGAGAAGTTCAACACGCACTTGATGCCTGCGTAAGCCAAATGGAACTGTTCGGAAATCATTTGTGCCTCCTGTTCCGTGCATTTGAGGGATTCCGCCAAGCTGCGCATGCCCATGCCATAGACAATCCCATAGCATATCTGTTTGGTGCCGTTGCGCAGCTGCTCGGAAACATCCGACTCGGCTATTTTGTTCCAGTGCGCCGCAATGGCCGTAAACAGATCTTGCGGAGAGTTCATCACCTTGAGCAGCGCCTTGTCCTGCGACAGATGCGCCAAGATGCGCATCTCCAGCTGACAAAAGTCTGCCGAAAGCAGGCAATGCTTCTCGTTCGACGACACAAATGCGCTGCGACAGGATATGTTAATCTTCTCCTGCCCCAAATCGACCAGAAAGTCCTTGGCGACATTTTGCAGATTCGGCTCCGACATGGAAATGCGTCCGGTGGCCGTATAGGTGATGCTCTGGCCGTGCACACGATTCGCCTGGCAGCACTTGAGCAGTGGCTGCATGTTCTTCGCTAGCACCATGCTCAGCTTTCGGTGGTCGAGGATCAGCTGCGATATGGGCGAGTCCAGCTTCTCGAGTATCTGGCGGGATGTGCTGATGCGTCCGTTAGCCTTGCGATGTAGTCCCAGCACCTTTGCCACAGCCTGTGTGGAGCCCAGATTGAAGCGCGAGCCGTGCAGTTCAAAGATCTTCACCTCCAGCTTCTTCATGGTGGCCAGCATCTGCTGAAGGAGACGCTGCAAACGCTGCTCCTGGGCCGGAAACCCAAGGCATTCCATGTTGCACAGCGACATCTGGATGGGCATCTCCAGTTCTGTGGGGAGATCAGGAATGAGTAAGGGTATCTTTAAAGGCATTTAAACCGACCTCTGAAGAACTTAAGGAGCTGCCCGGTGCCAATCCTTTCCAGATTTTCCAGCTGCCCGTTCAGTATGTGCACACTGAGGCACGCCTCGATGGAGGCGCGCACCTTGCCCAGAATGGCGCTGCTGGCATCCAAGCCGTAGCTGCTGTAGCCGCGCCCGCTGCCGCACAAATGGGAGAGAGCCGTGCACTCCGGCGCGAATTGCTGGCACTGCGTGGAAGGAACAGCTGTTTATAAATTATGAATCTTAATAGGACAAAGATTCCTACCATGTTTTGGAAGCTTAGCGTCTTGTCCGGCTGCAGAAGCCAGTTGCCCACCTTGGGATCCTCCAGCTTAACCTGCATGCCCTTCAGCTGCGGCAGCGCTTGACGCAGCGCCTTTAGCTGATCCTTGCCGTCGTGGATGAGCAGCGTCAGCTCCGGGCGGCTCAACAAGCTGCACAATAACTCGACTTTCTGCTCCGTGCTGACCGGCTGCTGCTCCAACTCCTCCTCTGCCTGCATGTTCATGTAGAAAGCCACGTTGTCGCTCAGGCAGAAGGCTATCCCGGCCAGATAGGCGCCATCGTCCACCTGGTAGAGCAGCTTTTGGCCCGCAGCAGCCTTACGTTGAGCGGCCGCCGCCACCTGGTTGATTAGGAGATTGGCGCCAATCAGTGGCTTTCTTCGGCCCGCCTGCGCCTGGAGGCCAATACTGAAGCCGCAACGATTGGCCGCGTGCAGCTCTTTGGAGGCTAGCTGAAAGAGCTGCCTATTGCCACAGATGTCCACGATGTCAATGCTGCTGAAACTGGACGCATTGTCGTCCTCCGTTTTGGAGCAGCTGAGTATATGCGAGGCATTCAGCTGCAGCGGATGCTTCATCAGCGAGTTCTCCAGCGACAAATCGGAAAACTCCATGGAGCAGGCGCCAGTTGATGTGGGAGCCGGTTCCAGCTTCACTTCCGGCCGGGTCGCCGTCTTGGGACTCTGCCTGCGCTGTGAGCGCAGCATCAGACGGGAAGCATGCGGCGTTAGAGCTCCGCGAGGCAGCTGCTCTGGCGATTCCTTGGGCTGTGAGCTGGGTATCTCGTCGGCATCCGGCAGAGCTTTGCTTTCGGCGGCCGTCAGCGCTGCCGTCAGGCCCGTGTTGAGCATGAAGGAGTCATCGCCGTCATCGTCTCCGGCGAACAGCTCCTGCTCCACGGCAGCTGCTGATCCTCCATGATTCCGTGGACTGCGTCGAGGCAACTGCGTGGGTGTGGTCGCTGAACTGATCAATGTGGGCGTCTTAAAGCTCCTGGTTATGTTCTCCTTTGTGCCGCCCATTTTTGTGGGCGGCGTTTGACCAGCTGACGTATCCGCCGGCGCATTCCTGGGCAATCCTTGGCGCACGTTCTCCATTTCGGCGCGCCTCTTGTTGATTTTCATCACGGCCACGAGACGACGCTCCTCGATCTCCTTCCGGAGCAACTCCTTGCGGCAAGCCGCGCTTGTGCTAGGCTTCTCCGCGAGCTGGCAATTGGATGAGCTCCCTGAGCTCGGCTGATTCCGCTCGGCAAGGGGTTGTCGAGTCAGCTTAGAACTAGGTTCTTTTACTTTTCCTTCTCCTTGCACTGGATCCTTGGTATTTCTCCTTATAACTCCACTCTCCGCCGGCTTTGGCTGATATTGGCTTGATTCTTGCTTGGAGTTCGCGACTTTTGGAGTCAGCTTTGGACTTGGTTCTTTTACTATTTCTTTTACTTTCACTGGATTTCTAGGATTTCTTAGTATTCCACTCTCTGCCGGTTGTGGCTGGACAGTGTTTGATTGTTGCTTCGAGTAGAGCACCATCCCGACGTTTGGAGTCACCGTTGGACTAGGTTCTTTTACTATTTCTTCTACTTGCATGGGATCCTTGGGGTTTGTTCTTATTAATCCACTGTTTGTCGTTTTTAGCTGTGATTTGTTCTGATCAAGCTTGCGCAACTTGGATGGCAATGGCTGCTCCGCGCTGTCGGGTGTCTTGCGCTTGCGTTGGGAGCCTTGAAGCTGCGCCTCCTCGAGGAGATCCTCGACTTTGCCTTGCGGCTGCGCCTCCTCGACGGACATGTGCAGATCCTCGAGCTTGCCTTGCGGTTGCGCCTCCTCGAGGGACATATGCAGATTATCAACCCCCTTCACTGGGTCTGTGGCGCCCTCCTCTTGCGACCATTGGATGTTGCCCACCCCAATCTCATATTGGACAAACTGACGCGCTTCGTGGAGGAGCATCCTGGCTGCCTCGGCGACGGTCATGCCTGCCTTGCCCGTGATGAAGAAGTTTCGGGCCGTATTGCGCTGTGCCGCCTCCAGAGCATTTTCGTGCTCGTGCTGCTTGGACAAATCGAAGCTGAGGGAATTGTAGAGCACCTTCTCGACGGCCAGGACATTGGCGCCGGCCAACTCGACGAGGCTTGTGATGCCCGCATCGTGCAGGGCACGCGCACGCTTGTGGCTAAGATCGGGCAGACGCATCAGATCGATCAGGTCGCGATGAATGCCAAAGTAGAGGCGATCCTTGAACTGGGACACAACAAGCGAGAGCGTGGACCATTGCAAGGAGTTGCAAAAGGCGGTCACAATGCCCGCAAAGGTGGAGGCCATCTGCTGCAGACCTTGGAGCATGCCGCGCTGGCACTTGAACTTGTGGGCGACCACATTGATGGGCGTTTCGTTGACCAGCTCCTGCAGTGCCAGCGCCGTGTAGAAGCTGCAACGGACAATCTTCTCTGAATATGCTCGACCTAATCCCAAGCCGAAAGTCCACCTACCGCTTGTGTATCTGCATCAGCTTGTAGTCCAGCTTGGCCTGGCCGCGCATGGCGCGCACCAGGAACGCCTCCTTGACGCCGACCAGCTCGCCCACTTTCTTCATGGCGGGACTTAGCTTCTCCCACATGTCCAGATAGAGCAGCCAGTCGACCTCCTGCAGCTGATAACACACGGAATACGGCGTCACCAGATAAACCGCATGCAACTCCGACTCGAGCACAAAGCAACGTCGCGACTTTTGTAGCTCGGCGAAGAGTATTAGCCCGTCCGTTGGCGGCATGGAGGAGGCCAGGCAGGCGGCGCCCAGCCGTGTGGCCATATAGTTCTCCGTCTCCGCCTCCTCGTCCGTTTGCAGGCGTATAAACTCGTACTCGATGAGGAAGTCCAGGGCATCGCTTATGTAATGGTCAACAGCCTCCGGATCGTGCTCCTCCTCCTGCTCGCCTCTACTTTGCGCACTGAGCAGCGTGCAATTGAAGAAGCTATCGATGTCCTGCCGCGTGCTGGCCACACCCGACGAGATCACCTCGAGCAGCGCGCGTTTTAGATGTGTCTGGAAAAGATTTAACCTTTTAAATATTTGCTTGTAGATTTACTAGTTGCACCTTACGCTGCCATCGAGATCCAGGCAGGATCTAATGGGCTTCAGCTGCGCGGTGACCAGTTCCCGGCCGATGCGCGCATTGCTCTCGCTGCAAATGAGTATGGATTCGCCGAGTGTATCCCTACCCGTGCGTCCGGCACGGCCAATCATTTGCCTGTACGTCAAGGAGCTCATCGGCTTGCCGCCAAACAAGGGCGAGCGGATGAGCACGCGGCGAGCGGGCAGATTGACGCCCGAGCTGAGCGTGCTGGTGGCCACGATGACCTTGAGGGCGCCCGCCTTGAAGCTGGCCTCAACAATGTCGCGCTCCTCCGTGGTGAGGCCGGCGTGATGGAAGGCGCACGCGTAGCTAATCGCCTTGGACATGACCGAGTCGAGACCTGTTGGATGCAGCACGGAATTAAACAGAAGCAAGGTTATTCTTTAGAAGGAGCACTTGCCTGTGGGTATGTCGCGCAGCTGCCGCTTCACATCATCGAGCGCTTCCCGGTTCAGCTGCCCGCGCAGCTTCTGGGCCAGCTGGCTGTCGGATTTGATAAGCGCGTGCATCGCCGTGGCCAGCTGCACGGCCAGGTTCTCGCACCAATCTTTGGAGGGACAAAAGACGACAACGGAGCAGCCCTCCAGCAGCGTCTCGATGCACAGCTGCGCCACCTGGTCGCTGTCGTTGGCCAATCCGGGGAGCTCCGCGTTGCGGCTGACATCTCGCAGAAAACGCAGCTGATTGTCATAGATCTTGGTGCCCACCTTGATCATCTCCTGCAGCGCCACCGGGCGATAGTCGGTCACGTAGAGCTCGGCGCTGAGCCAGCGCTGCAGCAGCTCCACGTTGGCCAACGTAGCGGACATGGTGATCACCTGGATTTGCAGCGCCTGCCTGCGCGACATGTACAGAATCTTGGCGAGCAGCAGCTCGAGGATGTAACCGCGTCCTGGATCGGAGATCAGGTGCACCTCGTCAACGATCACGGTGCCCAGTTCATCCAGTTTGGCCTGCTCCAGCAGCTTGTTGACAATCGAATTGGCCTTCTCGATCGTGCAGATGGCCACGTGGATGCTTTCGAAGCCGCCGGGCGGCGTGTAGCCCCCAAAGAAACCCTCCACACGGTAGCCGGCGGGCGTGAGCAGATCCTGCAGGTAGAACATCTTCTCGCGCACCACCGATATGAACGGCAGTATAAGCAGCACCTTCTTCCGGCGTTCCAGCACGGTCTTTAGGAGGAGGATCTCGCTGACGAGCGTCTTGCCCGCGGACGTAGGAGCCGAATAGACCAGGTTGCGATGCTCGAAGAGCACGCTCGGCTTGCTGAGGCACTCGACCTGCCAGTCAAACATGCGGACTACGCCCTTCTTCTTGTACTCGCCGAGCACGCTGTGCGGCAGATTCCACGAGGAGATTAGCTTAAGAGCGGGCGCTGGTGGCAACTGCTCCGTGCGCATGGGACTGTTTGGACTGTTCGGGGATAGGCGCAGCTGATTGGGCGACATGCTGCTCAGGTTCTGGGTCAGCTTCTGCGTCTGAGTGAGACTCTGTTTGGCCAGTTCGCAGCGACTGCGCATGAGATCCTGCTGCAGATGATGGGACGCCTGCGCATCTTTAGCCGCTGGTCCCAGGAAGCTGCTCTCATCGAGATTGGCCAATTCAATGGGGGAATCACTTCTACTCGGCACAGGCTCGGTTTCCGTTTCCGTGCCGAAGACATCTTCAGTGCAGATTTGTGCCTCAAAAACGGACGTCGTGTTGAGATTCTCGTAGCTGCCTTCAAGCACTTCAGTACCCGCATCCAAATTCGCCTGGATTTGTGAGACACGCATCAGGGACTCACACGGAGAAACCGCTTCTTCCTGGTTTTTTTTATCATACGAAAAATCGTCCTTGAAGAACTGCGAGTTAATTGCCGTGCTTCGTCCCAACTTGGAATCGGATTTGCTGCGTCGGAATTGCTGGCGCTGGGATGCATTCGATCTGTTTGTGTTGGACTGAGTGTAAATACGCTGAGATTTTGTTTGAAATTTTGGCGGCGATTCTTGGATAATTTCCAAGGCATTTGCTTCTTGTTTTGCTTTTAAATCGTTTTCCAGTTTCATGAACGTACTGTCGCCAAACTCAAAAGATTGTGAAAATGCCATCATTTGATAATTGTTATTAAATAAACTATTATGATACAATTTAATTAAACTACAAATAAATAAACAAAACAAAACAAAAAAATCCCGCGGTCCTCCAAGTGCGGACTGCCAACTGATTTCACATTACGGCATTTTTAGTACATTATTTACGATAGTTGTGTCGATGCTGTTAATTGTGTCATCGATAGTGGTAATAACTAACGATAGTAATGTGTGCAAAACATATAGAAAAATTGATAATACCACTAAACATACTATAAATGATGTGGTATATATATTGTATGGTTAGTGATAATATATAACATTCAGTTCCCACAAATTTAATAATATATACGGTATTCTTGCCATCGCTTCGATGTGCTGCAGATGTAATATCGGAATATATCGTTAACGCAATTATATCGATAGAGGTTCTGATAATTTTCTCACATCACTAACGTACACAGAATTGCCAATTACCATCAAAGTCGAAAACCTATCATAGAAAGGCGATTCCAGGCGATGCGTATACGTTTTGGCGGAATTGCAATATGGATGATTTCAAGGTGCCAGTTTTACCAGCTGCACCAACAGCCAAAAGCGAACATTTCGACGATGATCCGATGCCGACAGCTGCAAAGCCCAAAACGAGCGGTGGGTGCCCATACAAAGTACCAAAATGGTCTCAGGCGCCTCCCGCCGAACAGGATTACAGATTCGAGGTGCTAAAGTCGGGTCAAATCATCGACGAAGTAAAGGATCTGCAGCAGCAAGCCATCTGGACCTTTGGCAGGCTGCCCGACAACGATGTGGCCATGGCGCATCCCACAATATCGCGATATCATGCCGTGCTCCAGTACAAGCCAAAGGCAAGTCAGGAGGACGACGACAGCTCGAAGCCAGATCAGCCCGAAGGCTGGTACATCTATGATCTTGGCAGCACACATGGCACCTTCCTCAATAAACAGCGCGTGCCGCCGCGTGTATTTATACGCATTCGTGTAGGCCACATGCTGAAGCTGGGCAGCAGCACGCGCGTCTACATACTGCAGGGTCCCGGCGATGATGAGGAGCCCGAATCGGAGCTTTCGGTAACGGAGCTACGTGAACAGCGGGAGCAACAAGTGGCCGCAGCTGCTGCTGAAAAACAGCGCAAGGCACTTGAAGCAGAGCAGCGGGAACGCAATGAAGGCGCCAGCTGGGGCATGGGCGAAGACGCGGACGAGGAGACGGACCTAACGCACAATCCGTACGCGAGCACCAACAACGAAGAGCTTTTCTTTGACGATCCCAAGCGCACGCTGCGCGGCTTCTTCGAGCGCGAAGGCCTCAATCTGGAGTACAAATGCGACGAGTTGTCGCAAGCGTCGTTCGTCTGTCGCGTGGAGCTGCCCATAGACGATTCCAATGGCCGGCCCATTGTTGTGGAAGTCACCCACAAGGGTCGCAAAAAAGATTGCGTCGTGCAGTGCGCCTTAGAAGCGTGTCGCACGCTCGACCGGCACGGCGTGCTCCGGCAGGCAAACCAGGAGTCGCAGAAGCGCAAGCACCTGAAACCCGGCGACTCCGATGACGAGGATGAGTTTTGGGATCGCACAGGCGACGTTGCCAGGAAGAAGCAACGGAAGGCAAATACCAGCGCTGGGGTTACGCTCACCTACGAGGACTTGGTAAAATAACATATAAATTAATAATAAAAAAATATTTAACCAGATAATTTCTTTTCAGCTGAAGCAGGAGCTTGAGCTGGATGCCGAGCTGCAGAAAGTCGAGCAGGAGATCGGCGCCTACCAGCAGAACGAGAAACGTCTAAAGGAGCTGGCCGTCCAGCAGCAAAGTGCCGGCGATGATCTGGACAATTTCATGGATACGCTAAGCGAAAATGTCGCGCAGCTGGACAAGACAGAGATAAAAAAACTGAGGGTAAGTCGGGGAGTTCTTCCTTAATAAACTTTGCATATTAACTGTCTTCTTCAAAGTTGGAGCAGCAAAGGATTAGGGGTGAGCAGCAGAAATTGCAGCGACTCATAAGGATTGCCAAGCCGACGGCCTTGCCCTTTGTGATGCCCAACAACAAGTCATTGGACCCCAATGTTGCCAAGAAGCAGCTGCCGATGATTGGCAAGCGAAATCAATTTAGTAAATTTAAGGTGGTCAAAGCGGCGCCGAGCGTACGAGTCAAGGCTTCCGAGGAACAGGAGTTCGAAGAGGAGGAGGAGGAGCAGGATGAAATGGAAGGAAAGCAGGAGGAGGAGAAGATGGCAAAGGAAACTGTTACAAAGGCAGCAGCAACTGGAAAGGAGTACGCGCAGGAGTTGCAGGAAATGACAAAGGAAACAGTTGTAAAGTCAGCAGCAGGAGAAGCCTCAAAGGAAATAAAGCCAACGCCTGAGCCGGAAGTGGAATCGGACAAGTTGCCAGTTGCAGCAGCTGAAACATCAACAGACCTAACTGCACCGAAGGAGGAGGAAAGTGCCGAGGAGGAGGACGCGGCAGCTCACAAGAAGCGACGTCAACGTGCGCGACAGCGCAACAACAAACAGCGGCAGGATGTGGACATGGATCTCAATGAGCTGGCCGAGCACGAAGATGGCGACAAGTACGCCAAGTGGGTGCCGCCCACAAATCAAAGTGGCGATGGCTTTACGCACCTGAACGAAAAGTTCGGCTACTGAAAATACATTTAATTAGTGCTAAACAAAAATGCACAGACAAGTGTTATTTTATCTAACTAAAATATTATTAAGCCAAGGCATTAAATTAAACAATTTTTTTTTATAGTTTAAGAACTAGCTAATATTTGTTCTATTTTCTTTATCGCTTAATCTTAAGCTTCAAAGGAATTAGTTTAAAAAGGGGAAGCCTGCCGGACGCTTCTCACCACGCTGTGTCCATATTCACCACAGCTGTGCTTTGATAAGCCGCAGCTACCCCAGTTCCAGTTCCAGTTCAGTTTGTGAGTCCAGCCCCTGACGCCCGACGCGTTGCTTTCCAGTGGAACTGGAACTGGAGTCGGGTGCAAAATGAACACATTACGAATTCCTGTGCACGTATAGAGAATGAACGCGGGTTGTCGGTTGATTGCCGCTGTTAAGGCTCCAGCACTTGAACTTCCAATTCAGTTATAATTTTGCTACTCTTTTCGTCGGAACGACGAACGGTCAAACGTGTCGCGAATTTTTTTTGATTTAACCAAAAAACGTCGAATCATATTTGTTTCCGATTTATTAAAATTTAGTCGTTAATTGAAAAAAAAAAAAAACAAATTAATTAGCTATTTATATTAACTTTTGAGTTTGCTTGAGCTGATTAAATTAGTATTAATGCGGTCGCCACGTGCTTTCTCAATAGCCGGAGCACATGTGTGGGTTACATTTTAAAACGCGTAACAGTCCGTCTCAAAAGACGTCCCTGCGTTGGGGCGACTGCTGCTAATCTCCAAGATATTCCTGGCAAAACACTCTGTTTCCTATATTAATTAACTGTTAGTTCAGTTCGTGACGTCTGTGATCTGATCATAGTAAAAAGTAGTCGCACCTAATAAAAAAAAAAATAACTCACTTGTTTAGGAAATGTTGCATAAGCCAAGGCGCATTTGATTGGCGCGCGCATTTGCCGTCGTTAAAAGCAGCCAAGACATAACTTAACGCCTGCTTTGAACTTGGCACACTCACACACCCACACACTCACACACGCGCGCACACTTAAAGGTTTTACCATAACAAAGGTGAGTTCGATTGCCCGCAAAAGCAGTGGGACATGCGCAAAGATTGCGGCCTTCTCTCTGCCCGCCTTTAGGAGCAGCGCTGCCCCTTGGAAGTGCTCTTCTTCTTCTTGTTGTTGTTGTGGTTGTTGCTTAATTGCAATTTATTTTGTGAATGAAGCTTTGCTCGCTTGTTTGTTGTTGTTGCGCTTCGGGTCATATAGACAACAGAGCTGCAAGCCCAATAAAAATGCCTATTTTCCCAAAAGTTAACAACTTTCAAATATGTTTAATGAAATCCAAGATGAGTGCCCTATTTTAAAACATTTTCTAGCTCTGAATTTTTATCGTTAATCTTCACTTAGCAAATATTTGAATACATATATTATACTTAGTTTATATCCATCCAGCCCGACTAATTGGCGGCTGTCGTTTAACATAATTAGTGAGAACCGTTTGAAGCAGCTCGTATTGCAATTTGCTGCGTTGTTAGTTAATTGGGCGCCATTTAGAAGGACAGCAGGAGACCCAAAGGCTTCGAGCAAAGGCCATTGCAGAATGTCATTGCGCCTCATTGGGCTCACGGCTTATCCTTGGGCAGAGGTCAGTTGCGGGCGGTTGGCCTTGGCTAAGGGGAGGGGGGGGGGGGGGCGTGGGTGGTTGGTGTTGCAATAGCTTCATATTTAATGCTTCACGAAACCTAAGTTAAACAACAAGGAGAAACAGGCTGTCCCCTTGACAGGGGACAAGAATACCCTAGTTGTTATATAAGTTATCTTACTTTATTTTTTTATTGTTAAAAATGGAAGGTTCTACAAAAGCAGCATTTTTATAATTTTTATTATTATTAAAAATGTGATTGGCCTAATTATTTGTATTTTAATTATTATTGTTAGGCTATAGTTATCCAACAGTAGCCCAAGTAATTTCCAACTGCGGCTAAGATCGCCAGCCATAAACTAGCCAGGGATTATCCACACCTACAAGACCCAGTTTAAATATAATGAGCCCATAATACTTATAAATTTTGCAGAAAAGATTTACTAAGCTTTTCGAAAAGTTTTGATTTTAATTTCTATATTTATGTATAACATTTAATACTGTATCGATTAGTACTGGGATTTGGTAATTAATTTATTAATAATTAAATTAAGATATTCACAGCTTGCAACAAGAATTAGTATTTATGTAGTTAGCACGAAACTGAGAGATTAGTTGAAGCTGCAGCTATATTCTTGTGTGCGTTGCATATACCCACCGCATATACCCTCTGCTAGGTTATATTAAGTGCAATCTGAGCGCATGCTCAACTAATTATAATTTTGTTTCGGGTCTATCCTCACTCCCCTCTCCCCTTGGAACCCGCAGCGGAAAGGTCAGACCCCGCGCAAAACTATTAATTGACAAGCAGAAGGACAGGACAGGAATCCTCCTAAACGCAACAAGATGATCAACATAGCCGGCGTCGCGAGCATTATACTCTTCTATGCGCTCATCCTGGTCGTGGGCATTTGGGCTGGCCGCAAAAAGCAGGCGGGCAATGATTCCGAAGAGGAGGTCATGCTGGCGGGTCGCTCCATTGGACTCTTCGTGGGCATCTTTACCATGACAGGTGAGTAGGATGCAACCACGAATCGCTGACTATGCTAATCCGTATAACTATTCCTAGCTACTTGGGTGGGCGGCGGCTACATAAACGGCACGGCGGAAGCGATATACACCTCGGGCCTGGTCTGGTGCCAGGCGCCGTTCGGCTATGCGCTCAGCCTGGTCTTTGGTAAGATTTGATACTCCTCTTCGATATGGATAAATAGTTTATATATATTCCCTCCCTCAGGCGGCATCTTCTTTGCCAATCCCATGCGCAAGCAGGGCTATATAACGATGCTGGATCCTCTCCAGGATTCCTTTGGTGAGCGCATGGGTGGCCTCTTGTTTCTGCCTGCGCTTTGTGGCGAGGTTTTTTGGGCAGCTGGGATTCTGGCTGCACTGGGCGCCACCTTGTCCGTCATCATAGACATGGATCATCGCACCTCGGTCATCCTGTCTTCGGGCATTGCCATATTCTATACGCTCTTCGGCGGCCTCTACTCGGTGGCCTACACGGATGTCATCCAGCTGTTCTGCATCTTTATCGGGCTGTGGATGTGCATACCATTCGCGTGGACTAATGAGCATGTGCGCAGCCTAAGCGACATGGAGGTGGACTGGATTGGCCACGTGGAGCCCAAGATGCGCTGGTTTTACATTGACTACGGACTGCTCCTGATCTTTGGCGGCATACCCTGGCAGGTGTACTTTCAGCGCGTGCTCTCCAGCAAGACGGCGGGCCGGGCCCAACTGTTGTCGTACGTGGCCGCCGCCGGCTGCATCCTGATGGCCATTCCGCCCGTGCTCATCGGCGCCATAGCCAAGGCGACCCGTAAGTGCCACGCCCAACTGATTCCCAGCTAAGTCCTGGTTAACTTTTGTATTCTCTTGCCAGCTTGGAACGAGACAGAGTACACGGGTCCGTACCCCTTGACCGTGGACGAAACCAGCATGATCTTACCCATGGTGCTGCAATATCTGACGCCCGATTTCGTTTCCTTCTTTGGCTTGGGCGCCGTCTCGGCCGCGGTCATGTCCTCGGCCGATTCCTCCGTGCTGTCCGCCGCCTCCATGTTCGCACGGAATGTTTACAAGCTGATATTCCGCCAAAAGGCATCCGAAATGGAAATCATTTGGGTAATGCGCGTCGCCATCGTCATCGTCGGCATACTGGCCACTATCATGGCCCTGACCATACCCTCCATTTACGGACTTTGGTAATTGCTTGGCCCAATCCCGATTGACAGCTCAGCTGCTTAAAGACTTTCTTTTTGCAGGTCCATGTGCTCGGATCTGGTCTACGTCATTTTGTTCCCGCAGCTGCTGATGGTCGTCCACTTCAAGAAGCATTGCAATACCTACGGCAGCCTGGCGGCCTATATTATTGCCCTGTTCATCCGGCTGTCGGGCGGAGAGTCCATCCTGGGCCTGCCCGCCCTTATACACTATCCGGGCTACGATGTGGAGACGAACACACAGCTGTTTCCCTTTCGCACCATGGCCATGCTGATCAGCCTGATCACGCTGGTCTTTGTCTCCTGGTGGACAAAGTGAGTATTCCTCCGGGTTTCAACCCAATTATCCAATGTCAACCGTCTCCCCCGCTGCAGAATGATGTTCGAGTCCGGCAAGCTGCCGCCCAGCTATGACTATTTCCGCTGCGTGGTCAACATACCAGAGGATGTGCAGCGCGTAGGTGATCCGGCTGAGTCCGGGGAGCAGCTGTCCGTCATGGCGGGCCCCCTGGCGCGCTCCTACGGCGCCGCCACCATGGCCGGCAAGGATGAGCGCAACGGACGCATCAATCCGGCCCTAGAGTCCGACGACGACTTGCCCGTGGCCGAGGCGAGGCGCCTCAATCAGCAGACGGCCCAGTCGCAGGTGCAAAAGATGCTCGACTCGGCCACAGGCAAGGCGGGCGGTGGCGGCGGCCAATGTCAGGGCATGGCCATGCCCACGCCGGAACAGGACAATACGGTCTTCTGAGCGGGGTCCGCCTGATTTTAGTGCGCCGAAAAGTTACTACAATTTGTGTTTGAGTTGGGCTTCTTTTTCTTTTTTACATCACGTATGATGTATATGATGCATATATGATGTACGTTAAACACACAAGTGCTCAGGTATAAAGTGCAGAATGTTGCGTTTAAAGTTTATAATTATTTTGCCAAAGTTTTTACATAGTGTTTTGTAGAGTTTTTTTTTTATTTTTATTTTAATTTATTTTAATATTAATTTTTAATTTATGAGGCTTTGCATAGAGTAAATGGAATACATATAGTTCAATTGACGCATAACCAAATGTATAAATGTTATATAGCGTTAACCTGATCGATAAGTCGATAAACGTGAAATCGATAAAAACATATCAATGAAAAACTGAAAGCAACTGAAAACATATCAAATGCATTTCCCCCATTTTGCGCGAGAAATGCATTCAAATACGTATTATTCAATAGAGTTTAAAGAAGAAAAGCGAATAATATAACTATAATTAGTATATATACCTATTAATATACTAAAATATATATGTGTATAATATATATTTTATTCTGTCACGTTAATTTGTTTGTGTCATTTGATGTAGTTGAAATAATTTGGCACTTTTATTGATTCTATGAAATTTAGATGCATATAATGTGAATCATGTGTCCTTCCACAAAGCAAAACAAATGAATCAAAGCTGACTAAACATACAGAAAGAATTAAAAGAAATATTCGAATGAAATGCAATAAATAACGAATACATATCAACTATGCAACTGAAGAATATAAGGAATATAAAGCAAAAGAATTTTAGCTGCTCTCAAAGAGCGAAATAATCCCCCCTCCCCCCAAAAAAAAAAAACCCAAACATATTCGAGATGTTGTCTCATAGTACCTACAATTACCATATACATACACATAATTATAAAACATATATTAATATATATTAAAATATAATATATATAGAGAAGGCAATTTAATTTAGAAAGTTTATACCAAGTGGAAAAACCAATTATGATACCCAGATATTTGCAATTGGAATGCAAGCCCATTTAAAAATACTCCACATTTGTTTCCAATTTGCCAATTTTAAATCAATTTTCATAAAACGTTCTTATTTTCTTATTAATTCTCCCGGCTCGTTTGTTAAACTTGGCTCCAGCTGTTGCCATGGAACAGATTTAATATATTTAATACTATATAATATAGGTGTTATATAAAACTTGATAATGTTTAAGTACTTAAATGTTGACTGCTTTTTGATTGAACTTTATATGAGAAAATTGATAAAGTAAAAAAAGAGAGTCCAAAGATATGGCATACTATATATACTACATATATATATATATATATATATATCTGTTCTTGCTGTTGTTACCTGCTGTTAATTGTTATTTGTCTCTTGATTTTTTGCCTATTATCTGAGTGTGTAACTCTTGCTAAATACTTAGTCAAAGCTCGTAGCTGATACTTATGCAAAATTGTTTGGGCAACTCTTTAGCCATGGTTAATGGAACTGCGGAATTTGCCAGTGTTTAAGTTTGAAGTTAACTCACCTTTTTGTATATATAGGAAAAAGTAACTTAACTGCAATTGTTTAAGCAAATTACTAACAACAACAAAACCACCAACTATTTTATGTATTACGATATTATGGGATGAGCAATGAATTGAACTAACTAACTAATTAATATGGCAATTATAGGGTATCAATGCCGTCGGACATTACTTTCACGTTCACCCATTATTGTTGTCTAATCAATTGATGTATACATAGATACCCATTAGCGGCATATTACAATTATGTTACGATATATTACGAGCGAGTTTACGATATACAAAAAAAATATATATATATATACGATCAAATTATACCGAAAAAAAACAAGATACATATCAATGTTTAAAGCATAGCAAAAGAAAGATAAAAAAAAAAATAAAAGAGGGAATAAAAAAAGTATTTAATAAACAAATATATATATATATTAAAATGGTTTCTCTGTTGATGCAAATGCCGTGTAATTATTTATTCTATTTCGCAAGTTAACCGTATTTATTTATTTACATGTAATCTCATGTTATGCAATAACAACGAAAACATTACAACAAACAAAAGCTGCCTAATGACAAATTTAAAACAATGGAACTCTATTATCGTAAGCGGAAATTTCCCATCATAAAAATGCAGTTTCCAGTGTTTGGCGATCTGCGGGGGAAGCTGGGGGAACTGGGGGAAGCTGCCGCATCCAAGTTAAAGAGCAAATGGCAATTGGATCCAAGCCACCAAAGCAGCAGCAGAAGCCGCAGAAGATCATCTGACGTTGGAGTAGATGTCAGCCTATGTGAAGTATATTGTAGCTCTTAGAAGTAAATTAGTTTACTAATTCTCCTAGGTACACGGGAAAAAACATTGGTTAAGTAAAATGACTTTTTTTAATTTAAAATGAAATTAGAAGTTAACTTTATTTTAGATGCTTCGCTTTAAAGTTCACAAACTTCAGAACGCTCTAGTCACAATTTCATTAATTTATTTATTTATTTTTTAATTGTTAATTCAACATTTTTTTTGTTCTGTTAATTTACTTTTCAACTTAAAATTAAATTTAGTAATTGACTTTTTAAACGTTATGTTTGAAAGTTTGCTCTAGGCTCTTTTTTATTTTTTTTTTTATTTTCAAATTAAAATTTGTTTAATTTTTTTTTCAGCGATGCTTAGAAGTATATTAGTTAGAAGTATATTAGTTAGAAGTAAATTAGTTTATTTATTCACCAAGGTGCTCGTGAAAAATGCTAATTTCGGTTAATACCTTATTTTTGAATTAAATAAGAAGTTGACTTCATTTTTAGCGGTTTGCTTTAACGCGCACAGACTTCAAATCCCTCTAAAAACAATTTTAAACTTTAACTTTTTAAATTATTTTGCAAAATTTGAGTGAATTAGTTAGAATTTTCTGGTTCAAGTTTCCGCACAATTCAGATTAATTTATATATTTACTTATTTATATATTTAAGCATCTATTTATTCATTGATTTATTTAATTATTTATTCATTTATTTTTTATTTACTATTGAAAATGAGTTAAAATATTGCTCATCAAGTATTAATTGTTATATTTAAATTTATTTTTAAGACAGCCGAAAGGTGCCCAGCTAAGTTTTAGCCGTGTAACATTAACTATTTTAAGTTGGGCTCATTATGTTGCTGCACTAGTGCAATTAACTTGTACTCTTAATTAGATACAAGCCGCAACAGGTTGCTGCGGGCCGCCTCATCACAAGTTCATATCTGGCGTCGCACAAGAATTGCCCTCTAATTGATGTTGTTGCTGCTGTTGTGGATGTTGCTGTCGTGTATGTTGCTGCTGCTGTCGCTGTGCTGCACATGTTGCTGGCAGCTAAATATCCGGTATTTTTCAAGACATTTGCATAGCAATCGCCAAAGCCTTCAACTGTCATTCGGCTGATGGTTTGCTGCCAATTAGCAGGGCGGAAGAATTTCACGAATGTCATAAGAGGAAGTGAGAGGTAGTTATTGCGAGATCTTACTGAAGATGTGGCGTTCCAACAGGCCAAATAACAGGTAGGAGTACGACTAGAAAATACCCTATATCCAGTTTGTGGAAAGGCGAAGGCATTAAGCTAAATAAAATGTTTAATCTTCGAAGTAGGCTTAACAAAACTTAGCTGTAAATCTATATTTACCGATAATTTATATTTCTAAAAAGCACATAGCTGAAAATCGATATTTATCGATTTCGAGTAAATATGCCCGATGTGCAGCTTGGGGAAAGGGAATGTGTTAAGGTATATAAAATATTTTCAATCTGTGAAGAGCTTTTTTAAACTCGGATGCTGAAAGGAAAGTATCCGTAAATCGATAGTTATCGATTTCGATACTTTCTAGAAAGTCTTCCAGATAAACTTCATGCATGGGATCGGAGACAACTTTTTCCACCTGTTGCTTACTCTTTCACACCTGCAATGTGCCCCTTTTTTGCCCATTTCAACATATTGTTATTTTTTTTTAGAAATAATTGTCTCTTCTTCTTTATTAAACAATTGATAAGTATTATGTCTAACGCATGTTACAACTAATATTGGGGTCGTACAGCGGGGTCGAGTTCTCTCAAGATGCGAATAATTTACAATTGAGGTTTAGTTTTTTTTTTCTTGAGCAGCGGATGAATTGGGATGAAATGCAGCTGGGACGGATAGGGAGACTGTAGATGAGGGCACGAGTATTCTAAGGCACTGGATCGAATCTTTTACCCGATTCTCCGACTCCCGTCTCACTTCTTGCGGTAGGTGTAGCCACCGTTGGAGCTGTAGCCTTGCTGTATGGTTTCGGGCACCTGGCTGGGCGCCGAGTAGGCGTAGCCGGAGTCTTGGGCGGGTGCGCCGTAAGAGGGGGCGGGACCGCTGGGAATGCTATCACCATTGGGTGCGCCGTAACTGCTGGAGGGAGCTGCGGCGGGTGCATTATAGGAGGAGGAGGGGCCCGTGGAGTAGCTGGATGATGAGGAGGATGATGAAGAGCTGGAGCCGAAAGATGATCCGCCATGAGAGCTAAAGCCGCCGGAAGATGGTGCACCATACGAGCTGGAGGGGGCCGCCGGATAAGGTCCACCGCTGCTTCCACCTGCACTGGGTGCGGAGTAAGAGCTGGAGGGAGCCGGTGCTCCATATGAGCTTGAGGGTGCAGCAGGATAGGGTCCTCCACTGCTTGCTCCAGGGCTTGGTGCAGAGTACGAGCTGGATGGAGCTCCATATGAGCTGGATGGAGCAGAGGGATAAGGTCCTCCGCTGCTTGATCCTGAGCTAGGAGCCGAGTATGAGCTTGAAGGAGCTTTCGGTGCGCCATATGAATTAGAGGGAGCTGAAGGGTAGGATCCACCGCTGCTGGAGCCGAGGCTTGGTGCAGAGTAGGAGCTGGATGGCGCTGAAGGGGCTGAGTATCCACCTGATGGAGCAGAGCTTGGTGCTCCATACGAGCTGGAGGGTGCGGCAGGATAGGGACCACCACTGCTGGCGCCGGGACTCGGTGCAGAGTAGGAGCTGGATGGAGCTCCATATGAGCTGGAAGGAGCAGATGGATAGGGTCCTCCGCTGCTCGATCCCGAGCTAGGAGCCGAATACGAGCTGGATGGGGCGGAGGCATACGAGCCTCCACTGCTGGTGCCCGAGCTGGGTGCTAGGTATGAGTTAGAGGGAGCCGGAGCCGAGTAGGAGCTGGATGGGGCAGAGCTTGGTGCACCATAAGAACTGGAAGGTGCTGCGGGATAGGGTCCACCTGATCCCGAGCTGGGAGCCGAGTAGGAGCTGGAGGGTGACGAAGCATACGATCCACCGCTGTTCGCACTTGGGCTGGGTGCGGAGTACGAGCTGGAGGGACCAGAGCTGGGTGCGCCATAAGAGCTGGAAGGAGCAGATGGGTATGGTCCACCGTTACTTGATCCTGGGCGAGGAGCAGAGTAGGAGCTAGATGGGCCAGAGCTGGGAGCACCATATGAACTGGAAGGGGCTGCCGGATAGGATCCACCGCTGCTGGCGCCCGGGCTCGGTGCGGAGTAGGACGAGGAAGGTGCACCATAGCTGGAAGATGGCTGCGAAATCGGATGGAAGGAGCTCGAGCTGGATGGAGCGCCGTATGATGAGGAGGGTGGTGCCGGGGCGGCTGGGCCGGAGGTGTAGCCGCTGCTGCCCAGGGTCTGCGTCTTAGAGGGAGCGCCATAGTTGGTCGCAGGCGCCGACGGCGACGGCAGGAAGCTGCTCACGCTTGGAGCACCATAGCTGGAGGAGGGCCGAGCTGGCGCGCCATAGCTGCTGGATGGAGGAGCCTGTTTGGGTGGACCGTACCTGGGCGAGGGCGGAGCTGGAGGTGCGGGTGCTCCGTAGCTTTGCGAAGGCGGCGAAGATTTCGGCGGGCCGTAGCTGCTCGAGGGACGACGCGATTGTTGTTTCCTGGGCGGACCGTAGGATTGGCTGGGACGACTGGGCGGCGCGCCATAACTAGAGGATGGCGGTGGAGCGGGACGAGCAGGTGGTCCATACGAGCTGGCAGGTGGTCCATACGAGCTGGAGGGCCTATGTGCGGGCGCGGGATACGGACCACCCGAGGAGGAGCCGGGGCCGGGCGCCGAGTAGCTGCTGGACGGAGCTGGACGTGGATTAAAAGACGGTGCCGGGCCCGAGGCGGGCGGCAAGTAAGAGCTGGCCGGTGGAGCGCCATACTTGGACGAGGGTCGCCCGCCGCCGCCCGAGGAAGGCGGCAGATACGCATTGTTCAGCGGCGGTTCCGCGGATACATCGACGGGCAGGAGGAAGGCGATGGCAACTAATCCAAAAAGCTAAAGAAAAATACAAAAGAAAAGCGTTGCGAAAATGAGGAAATTAGTTTTGTGTGCCAAGCCGAGAAATGAGGCATAGCTTACCACGGCAAACGACGAGCTCATCTTGGCTTGGGTCTGCGAATTGGCCAGGCTGCAAAAAAAAAAAACAGAGTGCAAAAGAAAGTAAATGGCCGAGTCGCAAGTCGAAGTAATAAATGAAGCTAATGTTGCATAAGTTATTTATCTATTTTTTATATTTTTTTTTTTAAGTTTTCTTTTCTCATACGCACTATGGCTATTGACCGAGAAATGAAGCTCGTCAGGGGTCATGGGTCAAGGGGCCTCAATCAATGGCCCATCAATCTTGGCCCGGCGCTCAGAACTCCGACTGCGCATCGTTTGGCCTCCAAACCTTCGCTTCGCATTTACATAATTCGCTTATGCTTTGAGTACAAAAAAAAAAGAAGAAAATCACACACGAAGTGAAACTTTTCCTTTATTGAATAAAGGGCTTTTCTCGTAAAAGCTTTTGAGTCAAGCGTGTGGGCGCATTCATGGATTTTATGACTTGGCATCAACTTTAACTGCAGCTGCAGCTCCTAATCCAAACGCTCGACAATCATTTTTCCTACAGAGCTCTTGCCAATTATGGCAATGTTCACTTTCAATTGTTGTCTCTGTTGTTGTTGTTGTCTTTGCTCATCAGTTGACGCTTTGTCTTTTTATTGCAAAAAAGCTGCAAAAGCAAATTGTAATTATTTTTCGAGCCCAACTTAAGTGCTGACAGCTTTGACCCGCTCACTGTGGCAATAACACATATTTTTCTTTTATGTTCCAACATTTCTAATTGGGCATTATGTAAGGCTCATGGCAGCGGCTAACATGCGTTGTAAATGCACATGTAAAATGACAAGTTGTGCGTTGAAATATTGCAAGCAAACTGTTTGTTATTGCACAACTTTTGTAATCAATAAATATTGCTTAAACGGATTCCTAGAAGCGGAAGACACACTTGGTCTAAAATCCAGGCTGTAAGCTTGATGTTAAGCATGCGTTTTGTAACTTTAGTAATGTGTTTGGCAGCGGATAACTTGCATTGTAAGTGGTAATCAATATACTTATTGATTAATCGGATTCAGTAAAGCTGAAGCTATAGTTGTTTCAAAATCCAGGCTATAAAAGTGTGCCTGGTGTTAAACTTGATGTTAAGCATGCGCTTATTTTAACATGGTAACATGCATTGTAAATGTTAATGTTAAATGCCAGTGCCAGAGGGCGTATAATTGTGATGAAATATTGCAAACTGACTAGCTAAATACTGCTTTACAGGATTTTGAAAAGCTTAGCCCGTAGTTGGTTACAAAATCCAGGCTGTAAACTTGATGTTAAGCATGCGCTTAGTTTAATTAAGCTCTTGGCTCTTCTGTTAAGTTTCGTTTAACTTTTGAATACACTTTTGAAGACACTTTAACAACTTTTATCCTTCGAGATGTGCACACTAACCGATTAAAGGCAACAGAAGATTTATTTGGTTTTGTTGCTGAAGATGGTTTTTGCTGCTGCTCTGCCGAAAACCGAATGCAAACTACTCTGTGGTCTGGTGCGGCGCATGCACTTTTATACGAAAGCCGTTTGGCGTCCCAGCCAAGCTGAACGAACATCATAACTGAGCAGAGGCAAAAGCCGCCAGCGTCGCGGCCAAAGCCGAAAAATAAAGCTTCGAGACAAACACAATGAGCGCCAACATGTTTTCAATTTCGTATTTTATGTAACACCAAATGCACTCTTCAAAGCCGAATCACTCAGCCAGCATCTACATTCAACATGCCACAACAACAGCAGCAGCAGCCAGCAACAAGTAAAACGGCGCTGGTCGTGGCTGAGAGACTAGGCGATACGCTGTAGCTAGGCTTGGGCTGCCGTGATTCTTTCTATTCATACACCTGCCTAGCCCCATGTTCTGGGAATAATTTTATGTCGAAAACCAATAATTGCCGATCTTTATAGATAAGACCGAAAAATCTCTGAGATATGCTCAAAAAGTAAATGACGAAAATCGGTACTTATCGATATTTTGTGCTCAAACATGCTCAAAAAATATACATGGAAAATCGATACTTATCGCTATTTATAGAATAATCTCTGAAATATGATCAAAACATATATGTTGAAAATCGATTATTATCTATTATTGCGTTTATTTTAGTTAGTTTAGAAGTTATATATATACATACATATAATGTATATAAATAGAGTACATACAGCATTATAAAGCGAAGGGAAATCACCGACCCGATGGGCAAGCTTTGGGATAGATGGAGGAAATTGGGTAACCTGACTCACTCTTGATGATCAAGAGTGTATATCTTTTCGACCTACCTTCAGCTGCCTGTCACACAGTTTTGCACAAATGCAATATACCCCACTTTACCCATACACAATAAAGGGTATTGCAATAGCAACAACGAAAGGCGCTAAGCCAGGGGCATCATTCGGAAAGCGGCCGCTCGAGCTTTTGTGGTTTTTGCATTGATAAAAACCGACTTCACAGAAACTTGACTCTAGGGGCAAGTTCAGAGGCGGCATCAATAAACAATTGCCAAAAAATTGTATAATTGCGAGCACGGTGCGTATGCTTGATGTGCGAATTGCGTATTCGCCTGGGGCGCCACATTGAAAACACATTCATTTGCATTTTTCAATTGTTTATTGTGTCAATGTTAAGATGATGCTGTAGTCTGCCAGGGATTAGGCAACCGTCGGGGGCATCTCGGGCTTCTTCCAAATGTAACTGGCCCAGGGTATGCACTCCTTGAGCAGATGCATATAGGCCAATCCGTGTGGGCAGTCCACCTCGGTAGCCGGCTTGTCTAGGGTCTCGCACAGCCAGTACTTGGCCGGATCGAAGTGATGCGGGTACGTTTGCCCAATCTCCGACTCATCCTTGCAGGCCGAGCGACCAGCATCAGCATTTACAGCAACAACAACAACGGCCAAAACGGCGCAAAGTACAAAGACTGCAAATTTGAATTTTATATAAATCATATCTGAGAGATATTTTGAACATATAATAATACTTACCGGCTTTCATTGTTAGCTGTGAAAGTTTTTTGTTAGGTGTGTGCTCTTGCCTAGCGAGAGAACGACATTTATATGCTTCTCAAGCTGCCGGCAAAAAAATTAAATAAAAAACCTAGAAAAGTGAAAACAAAATTGAAAACAAGCGCATCCGTTGATTACGATCTGGACAAGATATTGATAAGATTGATAAGTGCCAACCAGCTAGGACAATTTAGTTACGCAAGTAATTAATGCATTTTTCTCGCTACTGATAAAGCTGATACAAAAAGAAATAGACGAAAGAGAAAGCCTCGCTACAAGAATTGACATTTATTCCAAATTATTTATATGTTTCAATTGGTAAAAAGAGATAAAAGCTCAGACACATTAAATAATAAAATTAATTGATCATCTTTATGAAGAAATTATTCAGATATAACCTGAGAAATGAAATAAAATAATTTGTCTTGATACATCATTTAATAAAGCGTATATAAACTGAAAAATAAAATAAATTGAAATCCAATTTCGATGGATTTATTTCTTTATTCATTTTAGAAGTAGCACTTGGTTTAATTTTCATTGAGTTAATCAGTTGACTAGCATATTGCTTAGATAAAAACAAAAGGAAAGTTGTTTTATATAAATATTTCAACTTATTTAGTTGTAGGAATCGTAACTTTTTTAACAATCGATGTAAAGATTGTGAGAAAAATTTAAGCCACAGAAATTACTTAAATTATTTCTGATTATGAACTTTATTAAAGCGAGTCACTTAGCATTTGTAGATAAAAGAAAAATAAAATTTACTTGCACCTTTTAATTAATTCAATTCCAATTATTTTGCTAGATATTCAGCAAAAAAAAAAAAAAGGAAACAAAGTGCGTATATCAAATATTTAATTAATTGCAAATTGGTTTGCCAATATTAAGCTGTGCGGCTCGAGGTCAATATTAATTATATTTTGTATAAATAATAAGCAAAAAACAGATTTAAACATATTTTCTGTTTACCTTCTACATGAATCTTCCGCTTATATCAAAAGCTGTTGACTGTAAAATTGTGAATGTTTTGTATGCTATTCAATCCTTTAAGAGTGCATTTGTCGTTTGCAGCAAAATTTGTTATGCTTTGCCCTCTATATATTGTATTATATATTATACATATATAATAGTGAATACCTTAGCTATAGTTCGAATATATATATTTATTCTTGATATCTGTTTCAGCTTACGTCAAGTAGCTGGTATTTAATTATATTATGGGTACAATAAAATTCTAATAAAAATTCCTGCAACTCTTTTGTGCGCAACAGCTGATGAATACTGATTGACGAGGTATTCAATGCAGCCAGATGGCCATTGATTGGCTCGACAGACACGATTCCATTAGCATAGCGCCAGGCTTAACAAAGCCAAATTCAACATAAACGAAATGAAATATTAAACAATGAAAGGTGAACATAATATATAATTACTATCATGCTGTAATGTGAATTCATTTAAATTGCAAAACAAACATCAACGAAAATTTGTCCATATTTTCGTTTTTCTGGATTTGCAAATTATATATTTATCTTTTGTTAACTGTTCATCGTTTTTTTTTTTGTTTTTTTGTAGCTTTTGTTGTGGCTGACCCCCCTAAAGCGTTTCGGGCCAAACACTTGACCAACATAAATGCTTAAGTGTGGATGCAAAAAATATCACGAAATCAACCAGAGCCAAAAAAAAAAACCAAAAAAAAAAACCTAAAAAAAAACAGTTAACAGCTAACACATTGATGAACACAAAAAAAGGCCAAAAAATCTATTACAAAATGCTTAAAAAGTAATTACAGTTTCCGCATTGAACTCTGCGACCGTCTGTAGGGCAGCTGAGGGGCGGGGCGGAGGGCAGCAGAGAGGTGTCGCCAAGCAGCAGGTGCCCATGGCGGGGAATTGGTTGCCTACAAAAATTGCTGATGAACCTCCAAGACAAAGACAGAGCGAAATAGAGAGACAGACAGACAGAGAGAGAGAGAGAAAGAGAGAGAGGGAGAGAAAGAGAAAGACGGGGACGGGGAAGAGAGAGATGACTTGGCGAGAGTGTTGGCCATGTAGCTGTTATGGCTAAATATAGTCGGAAGTTATAGAAAGTGCTGGTAATTCTGGCTATTTTTAAACTGACAAGCTATTTCGAAAAATATTTCAAACATATTTTAAACATGTTTTAACATATATTAAACAGAAGCTTTGGTATTCTTAGGAGAGAGACAGAGAAAGAGAGAGAGAGGGACGCTGAGACTTGTCAGCAGTGTTGGCTATGCAGCTATTTTCTAGCTCGGAAGCTATTGAAATTTGCAAATATTTTAATATTTTTATAAGAAAGCTTCGGGATGCTTGGATAGATAATGCAGACTTTAAGCACTTTTCCAAGCTTGACAATTTTATGCAGCTATTTATAGAACTTTTTTTTTGTGCCCATTAAACTCAGCTTGCTTGTTGGCTATTTACAAATTGATTTAGCTATTTTAAGGCTTTTTAAAACATATTTTAAAAATTTTAAGACAGAAGTTTCGTATCCAAGCTTGAGAATTTTATGCAGATATTTATAGCTTATTCTTAGCCATTCAATTCAGCTTGTTTGTTTGCGGCGACAGTTGACAACACTTTTTGGCAGTCAGCGACAGCCTCTGGGTCAGTTAATTGGCGTTGCGTATAGACGCTTTTATATGTAGTTTGTTAAATGCTGCGGCTCAGTTTTGAGCATTTCGTTAAAGACGATGACGAAGATGATTGCAGATGGCATACGGGCAGGGGCATGGGGCAGGGGCAGCTCATTATCGATTAAGTGGCTACGCTTTGAGTAAATCCAATTATTGGAAAGGAGGGAGAGGAAGAGTGGAGGGGGGGGGGGGTGGCGAGGGAAAATGGGGGCAGATTGCACAAGCCGCAAGCCACATCTCACCTGTGCCCAACTGCGAGACGTCTTCTATCTTTGATGGGCTCCGAAAATAGCGTGGAAAGGCGAATCAATTTGCAGAAAGTGCTTTTGCTTGTGGAGCGTGCAATTTGGACAAAAACTGATAAGCACCCAACCCAGGCCCGAGAATCCGGTTACGGAATACTATAAATATGCTCCAATTTGTGGACAATTGCAACATTTCCATTTAGTCACGCAACAAAATGCATCAAGGTTCGAGTTGAAAGAAGGAGAAGAAAATTATTGGAAAAATCTAATTTTTCGCTTATTTATTGCAGCCACGATCTTCAGCTTTCTGCTCTTTGGCATCCTGGTGACCCTTGCGAGCGCCTACAACGGCCAGGACATCTATGCGGAGCCCAATTGCGCGATTGTCGACGATCATGCTCGCAAATTCCGTGACATCTCCGATCCGACACATTACTGGGTCTGCCCCGAGGGCCAGGAGAAGGCCGACTATATCCAATGTCCCGACAACTATGCCTTCATGGAGCCACAGCAGGATTGCGTCGTCTGGGAGGAGTGGAAGTGGCTTGAGCCTTATACCAAATAAACAGCGTCTGCGTTGAAATTTCGGCGTAAACGCAGAACACAGCGAACAGTAAACAAAATCCCAACTTGTCATTATTTTATTTGTTCTTCTTTTGGTTTCTGCTGTCAATTAGTTTTGGTCAACTTTTGATTGGTTTTGACAGGCATCTGTGTGTAAGTTTGTCAGCTGCCTTCCATTTGGTGTCTAAAAAATCAATTAATTATATGCCCAAACTTTGGCATGCGATGCCATGTTTGTTCTTCACATGTCGTCGTCTTCCGCTACACACGTGCTCGACAGTTCCCTAGATGCTTATAGAAAAGGTAACAAAAAGTTGCCTAGCTACTAGAATATTATAAATTAAGTACATCATTTTAATTGAAAATTCAATACAATCAATATTGAATTGTTCTTAGTTTTGGTAAGTGCTTTTCTCAGATTTCAAATTACACTAACCTAGTCAAAGCCCAACCATATTTCAGGGATTTGGACATCATTTAAAATTTTGCGAGTGCCCTTCATAAATTTGAAGCCAACATAGCTTTATCAAAATTGCCCCGATTTTCGTGTGAACCAACTTTGACGGCTATGGATCGGCTTCAATAAATAAATAACAATTATAGTTTTTTTTTTATTGATATATTATTGTTTATTTCGTATAACCAAAGTAAACATTAAACGTCATGTAAAATCATACTCCCCTGCTAGGTTGCCTGACGCATTTTACAAGTAAAATTCCCTTCCCTTCCTTCCTAAATTTTAAACACACATAGCTTCATTCAAAGGTGGCCCGATTTCCGTGTGAACCGGACTATGGCTTGGCTTACAATCAAAAAAAAAAAATATTTATGTGGCATGGCATATAGGTAGTTCGTTAGACGAGTTATGCCAATGGCAATGCGAACATTACTTTGGTGTTTTCGTGTTTGGTTAGATATGGCGGGTATGTCTGATAAACGATAATTAGGCAGTGCGTGTCTCTGTTGCGCTTGTAATGTTATCTAACACCTGCGATTGGCAATCAAAGCTGACGCAGCAGCAGCAGCAGCTACAATCAATCAACTCGGATGGCCCACACGTCTGTGGAGAGATTCATTTGAAGAGCGCACGAGGCCCGGCTGATGACAAGCGCTGCTCCAATTTGGAGCTTAACAAAATATAAATTGTTCATTTCAGTTCGCTTGAATTTCCTTTCGTTTAAAAATAAAAGTAAAAACTAACAAATAAATAAAGAAAACGAGACAGAAGGGCTAGCTTCGACACGCCGAAGATTTAATACCCTTGCGGATACAACCTTTTCATAATGTTTATGGAAAATGAGAGATATATCGACTAGGCTATTGATTCTGATCAAGAATATATATAAAGTATATGGGCTCGGAAATGTATACTTCTATGCTTCATTTCACGACAAAAGTGTAATACCCTCTGGCAGGGTATTAAAATATATATAGATGACGCGAAGGCCCCGATAAAGTTGCGCGTTCACATTAAAAGTGAAAAGTACTTCAATAAATTTTTGTTAGAAATCATATTGCCGCAATGCAAACAACTTGTCGCTGCGCTGAGCTCAAGAGCTGCACTCGCTGGCCCGAAGCTGGTGAA